GTGAACGTGGGCCAGACGTGCAGGGCCCACTGACTTGTGGCCTAATGTGGCAAGGAGCTATCAAGTCTTGGAGAACCAGTCTGTTGTTTTGACAGTTACTGGAGGTATGGCCAAAAGTGAGGAAGTGCAAGCATAGCATTTACTTCTGTTCCTGAGGGAATGAAAGTGGATCCTAAAAATACTAACCAGCCTGATTAGTACACTTAGAAATAAATATCCTGACACTTAACAATCAGTTTGCAGATACAGGAGAACACTAAATATTAAATAATACAACTTTTGATGAAAACCAGATCCTCCCTGCAGGCTCTGAATCGAACAGTGAGATTGAGGCAGAACCTCACGGTGAACGCTGTCAGGTTTCACTGAGACGTTGAGATAGAGAACTTTGAAAGCGACGGAGGGGTCGGAGAGTAGAGAGCACTACACATACAGTTAATTTAGAGCCACATAGGAAGGCCATTACAGACGAGATCCGAGCTAAACCAGCAGCATAGTGTGGTCATAAAAATAAAATCCTGCCTGAGGTTGTGTCTTCCAATGATGACCGAAGTGAGAGCATCACTTTCGTAGGCCAGTCGGTACACTGGGACTGTACTGCTAATGTTGACCTGACTCCGGAATATCGTTTTATCCATTTTACTGCCTCTTCTCCCCAGCTTCTCAGGCGTGTCTCGCCTCCGCTGGGCTTTGCAGCAGTGCCAGGGTAACCGCTGTGGTCGCCCTGTGCGGCTTAGAGAACGCTCCAGCCAGAGGCAGACTTCACTGTACATTGGGTGCCTAATCCACGGATACTGTGTTTGCTCTTCACTTAGTTTTCTGGCACAAATCATATAACCAAAGGCAGAGATTATGTGAGTTAATCATGGAAGAGGCATATCACCCATCTGATTAACTGAATCCTCTGCCTAGGTTGATAAAACACGTATGTTGTTTCTCCAAGTCTCCTTAAGAGCAGGAGCTGGAGAACATTGTCCTACCTGCAGGACTTCATGTCTTAGCAGCTCCCCTGCTCCTTTATCGTTCTTTGGTACAAAAACGATACCAAAAAATGGAGTCACCTGCAGACAGAGTGAATCAGCAAGATGCTGCCAAGAGCTCAACTGTTCTCACACTGCAACTTCAGAAATAGATCTCCCAGACCTCTCCAGCCAGAGTAATTCTATTTTAAGCACCACACAGTAGTTACTAAGAGGAGTCATCTGAGCAGCCTGCTTTTTGTGGATATGGGAATGCGGGTGGGGGGCGGGGGTTGGTTAGAGTGTTTTTACTTTCCTATGTTTTGGGGGACTTGGTAAGAGGGGCTGGAGTGGAAAGAGAACCAGAGCATCCTAAGTGTCCTGCTGGAGAGATGTCCCTGTGCCTGTCTTTTGGTCAGGGTAAGCTGCCTGAGAGGGACTCAATGAGGCTGTTCTTAACATAGGGTGTCGGGTCGTATACGATGGCGCCACACAGTACCTGCTCCTTAACGTTGCCCCGTTATCAGTGCATTTCCTGAGGATGCACGTGGAAGTTTTTGCTGTAGGCAAAACCTTCAGTTCAAAATGAATAAATAAGACCATTAAAAATACAGTTTGGGGGCGCCTGGGTGGCTCAGTTGGTTAAGCGACTGCCTTCGGCTCAGGTCATGATCCTGGAGTCCCGGGATCGAGTCCCACATCGGGCTCCCTGCTCAGCGGGGGGTCTGCTTCTCCCTCTGACCCTCCCCCCCTCATGCTCTCTCTCTCTCATTCTCTCTCTCTCTCTCAAATAAATAAAATCTTAAAAAAAAAAAAAAAAACAGTTTGGCTCCCCCATATATCAATAAGAAAGGGCACATTTAAAAACTCTATTAGTGCGCTCAAATAAAAACTAAAAAAATGTGTTCTTTCTAATACTGACCGTCTGTGATGGGCCCATAAGACAGGCAAAAGCAGCTCTTCTGAGCAGTTGCTGTGTAGCTTGAGGCCACAGGGCCTGCTTTTGAAAAAGGACCTTATCTGTAACCCTCCTGTAGAGTCCCCTGAGTTTGGAAGAGAAGCTTCAAATAAATGCTCACAAAACGAGACATTCTGAAAAGTAGGGGACTTGATCATCTGAGAAAAACTACTCTGTATAAAGCTTCACTAGATAAATACTGCTCTTGCTTTCGAATATGAGAAAGTAATTATTGCTACAGCTCCCAGTTCTGCTCTGTCCCTCCATAAGCCAGTAGCCAACCACGCATGAAAGCATGATAATAAGTGTACATTAGGCATAAAGGCCATTGGTAGGAACAAAATCCCATCCCATTACTATTTCAGTCAGTATGGAAGATGCCAAGCACACAGGCGGTACTCAGATGCCTTGTCGATGCCATGTCAGACTTTTCTCTTTCCTGCACTCAGTTATGATTGGCCATTGTCTGACCAAACTTTTCTTCCCAGCAAGGACTGCCTGTCACACTTATAAAACTATACAGGTAGCATCCATGGAACAAGCTAGAATTGATTTCTTATTTCACAAAAGAAAGAACTCCATCCATGAGCTTGACCGTCTGGAGTGTTTAAGATGGGGATCACGGGTGAGGTGGAGCCTCTTGACGTCAGTCCTATTTCCTGGCCTTAGAACTGCTTTGTGTTCATTTTTATACTGATCTTCATGGTGTCTACCACCTAGGTACTTTGTTTTCTCCGTTCTGATAAATAAAGTGTATTTAAAATTGAATGAAAACTACATATTCTAGTGGCATTTCATTGTTACCGTTATTTTAGTCCTAGTACGGTATTTGTTCAGTTGGAGAAGGGAGACAAGAATTCCTGGACCAACCCCCAGGCCACAGAAACATTTTGTCAAAAGCAGTAGCATTTGAAGGGCCATTTAAAAAGTGTTGATATCACTGTTTTAAATGTAAGGTAGAATTTTTTTTCTGCCTCATTAAGCCCATCTTTAACAAAAAGCTTACTAAAATCCACGCCAGCAATAAACATTAAACGTTGTAGATTATTTTAATAGTACGTATTTTACAGTTATTTTCTACCTACTGGAAGTACTTGCTTGGAATCAGAATTAGCTGTTGTGCCTCGAGGTTGTAGCATCTCCTCTTCTAGGGCCTTCCGAATACCCTGCGGTGCACACGTTCTGATGTGTGCATGTTCGGCATTATCGGTAAATTATATACTTGCCAGAGATCAACTTAAAATGGAAATGTTGTCGGGGAAATAGTCTTTGAGACACTAGTCCACTGGCTTCCTGGTGTTGGCGTCACTGAAATAAATTCCTTTCTTGTTTCACCACACACACACACACACACAAAAAGAAATACTGTTCTTTTGATTTGGGGGTAAAAGTTATTCTTCCATTTGTAAAATTTTGAAACATGCTGCTTGCAGATCATTTGCCTTGTAGATAGACATACTCTGTAGACATTTCCATTGCTTTAACAGGAATTGAAAATGCTTTATAAAAATCGATTAACTATAATTACCGTAGTCTTAATATTTATTCTTAATTTTGACTTACTTAAATCATTTGTAATATTGCCTTTCAAAAAGGTGGAAGTATAAGGATGACAGATTTTAAGTGAGTATGTTATTTAATTACCTGCAATAAATCAGTATTTTTACAGCTGATTGACCATTAGCAACATCTGTTATTTTATCTTCTTAAAACATCCGTAATTTTTGTCAGCCATGTTAATTTTCCTGATTTAATTTTGTCCCTTAAATTTATAAAACTACTTTCCCCAATATACATTATTGTTTTCTGTGTAATTATAGGGAATATTATAGTTAGCTATTGCTGACAATAACTGATTAGGGCTAACTTTCCTGTTATTGGCAATGATTTATTGCTCAGCACGGAGCTTGTAATTTAAAATGATTCATAGGTTGCATGGTCTTTTGCCATTAATCAATATTACTGCATTTTATTAGAATAAAGAGCATCAGGGGAGCTGATTCCATACTATTTTTAGTCAGAAAAGTAATAAATTTCATAATTGATGGTAATAACCATTTTGCAACCAAATTATTTAAAATTTACAGTTAACTGTATTGTATGCTCTCTATTCTTTAGTTAGTATTTAAAATGTTCACATTTCCATCTCTGAGAAACTGTATCCATATGAAAATTACAACTGATGTGAGCTATCAACACAGTTATCAGTAGTGTCGAGTAAGCTTATAGGCAGAAGCAAAGTGAAGTATGGATTGATTGGGGAAGATGAAGTGTACGTATGTAACGTAAAATTACATACGTTGAAGTGTAAAGATACTGGCGAGATGCTTCTTGTTGCCTGGCCCCATGACCTCTCCTGTGCGTGTCGAGAGCAATGCCATGACCTTCCGGACCCCATTGTGCACCCTCATCAGGTGCCAGCCCCGGGGGCCAGGATGCTCTGGCCACAGCACTTGGCAGACGAGGGAAGGAAGTGTTCCAGGACCTGGGCAGTCCTCCTGCCCGATCCTCTCGTCTTTCCCATCCTGAAGACTCCCTCCGCTCCTTCGCAACTACAGGGTGCTGCCTGAGAACCGTCTGGATTTCCTGTCACTGCATTCCTATACATGTTTCATCTGCCCTCTTCTCGTGGCCTTGCCCAGATCTCTGTCTTTGACGGTCAAAGATAAGCTAGGATGATTTTCAGTATATATTTGCAACTTACAAATTTTTCTTATAAGAGAATAATGTAACAAAATTTCTTCTAGGTTACATGTAATACTAGAAGTGTAAAAGCTGCTTCTTAAATATGAGTCTTAAAATATTCTTTTAAGCCCTGTTATGTTGCAGATACTGTGAGTTCAGTAGTCTTCAATGTTTAAAGGGCTCTCGATTTTAAGTGGGTGGCGGTCAGGAGTGAAAACACTGGGAATTTAATAAGCTAAACAAATCTAATTAGATATGATACTGCCTCCTTTCTGCTTTCCCCCAAAGCCATCCTAAAGACAGATCATCTCGAAATTATTTTGAACTTGAAACGCCCATTTCTACTTCTCCTCTGTTTCACTCTTACTATGTTCTCTCTCGGTCGGTGCCCTTTGCAGTCTCAGCGGGCTGGGGAGAGATGCCTAATGTCCACTCAAAGGCTGAGAGCTCTTGGGGAGAGCCGTCCTCCCCCTCCGCCCTGGTTGACAACGGCACCGCAGCATGGGGCAAGCCACCCAGCAGCGGCAGCGGATGGGGGGACCAGCCCGCGGAGCCACCGGTGACGTTCGGGAGAGCCAGCGCCCCCGCCCCCACCCCAGCCCTGTGCAAACCAGGTAAGCCTGACTCGGTGCTTGAGAAGTGGGTCAGGCTCTTCTTGAGAGGGATACTTTCTGTTGAATTTTAAGAATTCAAGGTTTAGGACACTTTACTCCTTTTATTTGTACTTTAAGACTAACACATTTGCCACGTCTGGTACAGGGACACAGAGGAGCTCTTAACAGAAGCCCATGCTCTCCTTAAAAAAAAAAAAAAAAAAAAAATTAGTTACCAGAATCCAAACCACACACCGTGTGTGTGCCAGACACCGGGAGTGGTACGTGCGCCGCAGTGGCGTTCTTGGGCCTGCCCTCCGTTCCTGCCTCCCTGAGCGGCGGGGTGGAAGAAAGCGTGCCGGTGGTCCTTCCTGAGACCCAACAGTGCTCCACAGCGCTCGGCCCTTCCTGCCTCGCTTGCATCTTGTGAGCACCGTTCTGCTTCGGGTGCTCCAGGCTGACGCTTTTTCTTTTCTTTCTTCCTTTCCTTTTCCTTTTCCTTTCCTTTCCTTTCTTTTTAGAAGAAAAGGAAACAACCATTTGGTTGCATTGTCCTCCCATTCTCTGGAAGTGTAATAAGTATACCTGTGAAACATCCGTTCTCACAAATGTCCACATTGCGTTCACCGAGTGGAACTCTGTGACATGGGAATTTGACAGTGCTATACGTAGGACATTAGCATGAACCTAAGATTGTGATTTAAGTCTAATAATAAGATCAGTTGTTCACATGGCTGCAAAAGCTTCGTATTTTCTTTGGACAACATTAAGTGTCTTAGATCTAAAATGCAACTTTATGCGTTTGATGTTTTTGCTATTGCATTTTGCATTAGTTTTGTGTTTGTTACTTTGCTAACACCGGATAGTGTGTTCTGTAGATCTACCATTCTGCTGGATTATTATTCCATTCATTCACTTTCTTGTTGCAAATCTAAAGAATAAGAAGGTACTTAGATTCACATGCTATCTTGAGGGGATATATTTGTTTTTATAATTTGAACTTGGAGGCATTATTATACACGTGTCTGCCTTGAAAAAGCATCATATCTTCATAGTCTTACAGACTCCGGCTAACTGTACTATCACTTAATCTTTGGCCTTCTTCGCCTTCTCCCAGGAAGTGAAAATTTGGGTTAACTTTTATATCCAAAATCACTTTATATCTTCAAAAAGTAGAAAAAATAATATCCTGAAACCAAAAGTCAGTAGTCAGCTTGGGCTCCATCTGCCCATGGCCTCAGCTGTCTCCATCCTGCTGTTCTGAGAGTATCTCCTGGGAGCTTGTCAGAAACAGACTATAGGGCCCAACCACAGATCTGTGCGTTTCTCGTGATCCCCAGGTGACTCCTGGCTGGTCACATTGAAGGAGCACTAGTCTGAATACTGCTGCAGGTTTGGATCAAGTGGTAATCAAAAACCACATGGACGGGGCGCCTGGGTGGCTCATTTGTTAAGCATCTGCCTTCTGGCTCAGGTCATGATCCCAGGGTCCTGGGATTGAGCCCCACATCAGGCTCCCTGCTCTTTGGGGAGCCTGCTTCTCCCTCTCCCACTCCCCCTGCTTGTGTTCCCTCTCTCACTCTCTCTCTCTCTCTGCCAAATAAATAAATAAATCTTTAAAAAAAAAAAACACATGGAGGACAGTGGTATTTTTTAGGACTCTGCATTTTACCGGCTGTTTCATACCATGCGGACATTGCCACCTTCTCCTGTAGTCCCCAGGATTTATTGTTAGGAAGTCCACGCTTCAAAATCACCTCTAGCCGGTTAAGGGAGTTTGTAACAGCCCAGACGACAAATAGCTGGAGTTTGAAGAAAAAAACATATACACATTTGCATATGTATTCTGTAACTAGCTCAAGAAATTCAATTCTTAGGTCTTGGGGAAACAAAGTAGTAAAAAGGTAGATTACAATACACTCCTTTTGTCCCCCCTTCCCCTAAATGATGTTATAGTATAGCATCTGCTTTAGGAGAGGTGAGTTTGGTAAGTTCATGTTTGCTCTCTTTCTAGCTTCAAAATCTATGCAAGAAGGCTGGGGCAGTGGTGGGGACGACATGAACCTTGGCACCAGTCAGTGGGAAGATGAAGAAGGGGGCATGTGGAATAATGCTGCTTCCCAAGAAAGCACCTCCTCCTGCAGTTCCTGGGGGAACGCCCCCAAAAAAGGACTCCCAAAGGTGTGTGCAACAGTAAAGAAAGGAAACTCTAAAAATCAGTGGTACTTAAAAACACACTCAGGGTAGAGGTTGTATCTCCAGTTAACGAGGACTGGTAGGCCAGGAGTTTTTTGCGTGCTGTGGGTACTTCTGGAAGACCCTGAGATTTGTCAGGGGTCTCGCCTGAGTGAAGGCTGGAGTTTTGCAGAGACTACCTGGCATTGCTGTGACAGCAAAGCAAAGGCAGAGACAGACATGAGAATCCAGCCGCTTCTAAGAAGCCAGACAGTCAGGAGATTGGCAAGTATGTACAACAGTGCCACTCTTCTCACTAAAAGTTCTTGTTTTAGAAAACATAATTTTCCATTAAAAAAAAATGTTATTGGTGTTAACACAGAATGGGTTTGTTATTGTAATTTTTAAACAAATTATTTTTAAATTTATCAGTTTTAATTTCTAATACAGTAAATATTGATAAATACAACCCATATAACCAGAATTTCTTTAGAATCCTCAATCTTTAAGAGAGGGTAATGGGGTTGGTCCTCAGACCGTTAAGTCTGAAACTCCTGAGGTAGACCATTAAGTCATCTTGTAGCAAACAGGCAGCCATCTGGAAAAATTAAGTGAGATGCACAACTCATATATGCACCAAGATAAAATCCAAGTAGGTCACAAATTTAAGTATGATAAATAAAGATATAAAATGGGAAAGAATTTGAGAAACAGTCTTGGAGTGGGACCAAAATCTAACAGCCATCAAATGAAAGACTTACAAAACAGTAGATACACGTGAAAACTGTGCACGACAGAAAATACCAAAAAGTCAAAAGACAAATAACAAGCTGGAAAAAAAATTTGTATGCTAGCATGGAGAGAGGTGATCTCCCGAATATATAAAGAAAGGTCCTAGAAACTGATTTTTTAAAAAATCAATTAGTAACCCACTAGAAAAAGGTGCAAAGAATATAAATAGATGGTCCCTGGAAAAGGAATGCAGACAGCTCTTACACATATGAAAGGGTGTTCAGCCTGTTTTCTTATGGAAAGAAACTACACTGCGAGGGGCGCCTGGGTGGCTCAGTCGGTTCAGTGTCTGACTGTTGATTTCAGTTCAGGTCACCATCTCAGGATCATAGGATCCAGCCCCATGTCGGGCTCTGCACTCAGAGCGGAGTCTGCTTGTCCCTCTCCCTCTGCTCTTCTCCCCTCCCCCCACGCTCTCTCTCAAATAAATAAATCTTTTTTTCTTTTTTTAAGATTTTATTTACTTATTTGGGAGACAGCACAAGCAGGGGGTGAGGCTGGGGGAGAGGTGGAGGGAGTGGGAGAAGCAGACTCCCTACTGAGCAGGGAGCCTGATGCGGGACTCGATCCCAGGACTCTGAGATCATGACCTGAGCCGAAGGCAGTCCCAATAAAATCTTCTTAAAAAACAAATAAAACAACACTGAAGATGCCAGTTTTCATCTCTCAGACCAGCGGAAATCCACACGTCTCACAAACAGGCTGTGTTGACAAAGCTGTGAGAAAACCAGCACCTGGTCTGTTGCTGAATGTGAAGCAGTGTAAGCCGCACGGAGGGCAGCTTGGCGTCCTCTGTCCTGATTGCAGATATGTTGGCACGTGGGTGTGGCGCTTCCACTTGTCACGGGTGCAGCAGATGGCATTTGTACACAGCTCTTTGTTGCAGCGTGTCTGTAGTCAAAATGATGATTTAAATGCACATCAGTGGGGTGACTAGTTAGATTGTACCACATCCACACTGGGGAGAGCCAAACAGATTTTTAAACAGAAATTCTGTGTATATTCATATGAAAAGATCACCAAAGTATATTGTTAAATGAAAAGGCAAGGTACAGAAAACTGTGTGCGGTACACACCTCCTCTGGGGGCAGGGCACGGGTGTGAAGGGGGGGAGTTCCTCTTGGGGAGAGCAAGAGCTAAGCGGATGGAGGAGGGGGTGGGAAGAAGATGCTTTGGTGTATACCCTTTTTCTACTTTCAAATGCTCTGAAGGTATTATGAAGGTATTATCTGTTCAAAAAAAAAAATTAGTTGAACAAAGCATTCAATTAGCTGTAAGCAGAACCCAGAAACTAAAATCATTAGGAGTAGAAGTGATTACGGACTTCAAAAAGGAATCTTTTTACAATCGGGCTGGCAAATAATCCAGTTAATGATGGGACCTGAAATACCAAATTGGAAAATTAAAATATTGTGTAATCCCAGCAACTCCGGCCCTGGCAGGGCAGCAGTGGTTCCCGCAGCCTCCGAATAAGCTGCTTCCTCGAGGAGAGAGCGCCTGCTAGTTTAATATTGCCCCATCTGCTCCATTCTGTAGTTGAGGGCAGGCTCAACTCCGAAAAGCACCGTGAAGGATAATTTTAGAGGAGGATGTTTTTCCTACTACATTAACGCATAGTTGGAATCTTTGTGGCTGTGAGAATAGAAGGGAAATTACTGGGAAAATGGTTCACATCCCCGCTCAGCCCTTCTGCACTGCCCTGTGCTCCCCTCCTCTGCCCTGCGCTTGCTCTCTCCTTTCCTCTTCATCTTGTCCCTCACTGATGTTTGCCCATTTACTTTCTTCTCCACCCTAAAGGCTGCAAGCCGTGAGAAGTCAGTAAAATTAACAGGCTTGTTGTTCCTTTTCATTCTGTTGGAACAAAACCTCTGCATTTTGTCATCTTTTACAGTAAAGCTAATAAATGGGCAGAAAACATAAAAGTTTTTGTAAACTTCCCATAGTATTAGCATAGGGCCATGTTCAGAGGAGCACTTACGATTATTTGATAATGGAAGTGGCACTAATTTGTGATGAACTAAATTCTCTGGGGAAGAAAAATAATTCTCTTGCCTTTTTTTTTTTTTTTAAGATCTTATTTATTTCAGAGAGAGAGAGAGAGCATGTAAGCATGAGTGGGGAGAGGGGCAGAGTGAGAAGCTGACTCCCCGCTGAGCAGGGAGCCTATGTGGCACTTGATCCTAGGACCCTGGGATCATGCCCTGAGCCGAAGGCAGATGCTTAACTGACTGAGCCACCCAGGCATCCCTAATTTATGGACTTTTAAAAAGCAAGAGAATTGGGGCACCTAGGTGGCTTAGTGGGTTAAGCGTCTGCCTTCGGCTTGGGTCATGATCCCAGGATCCTAGGATCAAGTCCCACATAGGCTCCCTGCTCAGTGGGGAGTCTGCTTCTCCCTCTGCTTGTTGCTCCCCCTCCTTGTGCATGCACTCTCTCTCTCCTCTCTCTGACAAATAAATAAATAAATAAAATCTTAAAAAAAAATAAAGTCCATAAATTACACACACATGCCAACTTGCAATGCACCCTAAAGCATTCCATAGTAACTAGCCATGACTTTCTGGTGCACAGCATTATTCAACGTGAGTACAGGAAGGTTCTCTAACTTAAGTCACTGGGAATTTTAGGCATCTCCCATTTCTAGAAGAAATGCTTAAAATGTAACCCATACTTCATTCTAGGGCATGAAAACATCTGGCAAGCAGGACGAGGCCTGGATCATGAGCCGGCTGATGAAACAACTCACAGACATGGGCTTCCCGGTGACTGGTGTCTTATTTTACTGCTCCCCTCCGTGTGTGCTGCCTTGCATGGCCCCAATTGTGTCCTGCCCACGTTTGTCATGCGTAACAAGGAAGGAAGACTTTTGAGGGAGGAGAGTGTTCATACAACCTAATTTGTAAATTCCCCTTTCACACAAGCACTTCTGTTAAGGGAGCATTGCTTTCAACTACAGCAAGGATCCACACTGTTTCTATCAAGTAAGGTGTGAGAGCCTTTTCCTGGAATAACACATGCTGTGTGATTGTTCTTTTCCTTGGCTTATACAGTTTCATACTTTCCTTTAATTTATAATTAAAAGTGAGTTTTCATTAGTTCATGCAGTAGATTGACAGATGACAAGAGAAAATTTGGTATAAAGTACTAAAGCTCTGTGTCCAGAAAAAGAATCCTCACCAAGCCTATTGAGTAGGACCTGACTCTCAGGTCCTGGGTGGGGAGAGCTCACATTGCAGGATGACCCTCTGAAAATGTGTCATGATGTGTTCAGTTCCTGAGATCGAATGCAGGGGTTCAGATAGTGTGGATATCACCTGCGTCTGTTACATCTTCCCTTCAAAGGTCTTCTTTCCAGATCATTACTCAAGCGAATATTTATCTTTTGATTACTGTGAATGTCCCTAAAGAATGAGTGCAGCATGGCCCAGTCTAGAAACTGTATACTTCATAGCAGGCCCAGGCCCTCTGACACTGGGCAGGGCACAGACCCAGGGGTGGCCCAGCCTCTTCCCGTATGAGAGGACAGGCGGGACACTGGAGGTCTGCCCAGGTGTCCCCATTTCTACTGTGGTGCCTGCACACGCTGACATGCATCTGTTCCCATCATAGGGATAATTACGAAAATGAATCTACTTGTTTGGATTTGATTTGTTTTTACGTTTCTTAGTGAAAAACAGTTGACAGCAAAGCCCAGAGTCCATAAAGTAGAGAATGAAGCTCTGTGCTCTAACTCCTACAGTAACTTTCCCGAAACTGTGCTGGTGGAGATTTCATCTTTGCTGAATGGTTGCTACTTGTACAGAATCAATGACAAGATTCCACGGGCACTGTACATTTTGTTTTTAAAGTGTTAAATGTAAATTCATTAAAAGTCAATTCAATACATGTTCTTATTCTGAGTGCCTTTTACTTAGAAGACCTTTGTCTCTAGCCTCAACAACAAAGAGAAGTATTCCCAGTTCCAAAACCTAGTAATATAGGGTAATATTAGGTCATTGTTAGGTCAACAATAATAATTTCTCTAAGCTAATAGGGATAGAACTCTTTACTAGCTTTTTTGTTATTATAAAAGCATAATCCTAACTAAAACTATTTTCCTACACAGAGAGAGCCAGCTGAAGAGGCCTTGAAGAGTAACAATATGAATCTTGACCAGGCCATGAGTAAGTAATATGATGCACACTTGTTTAAAAGGTACCAGTGTGTGGAGTTTGGATTTCCAGAAACATTTCATTGTAGTCTTGGGTTAATGGTGGAATATGTACTGGGTAAACAGGACCAGGCTTCGGCAAAGGAGTAACCACATGACGTGCAGTAACCACACAGCAAGTCTCTGGAGACTGGTGATCTCAGGACAAACGGCCAAACCCCACATGGAGGCATGTTTGATTCTTTCATTTTTTTCTAGTACTTCGACAAATAGATGAGGTTTTCCATCCATTCTGAGGAGAGGTCATAGTGACGTTCTTTGAGAAAGACACTAGGACCACAGGCCAGACTTCATTTGACACTGATTGAGCCCATTCTTCACGCCCGGCCCCAGAATGGGCTTGCTCAGGGGCCAGCAGAGATGTCTCTGTGCTGGTGGAGCACTTACTCTGTGTGAGAGATATTTACCTCAAGAACAAGCCGCCCTCATTCTGGAGCTGCTTTAAAAGTAGTAACAACTAAAGGCGATAAATAGTCAGAATTGGAAAACTATCACTGTGTTTTAGAATGGTATATTAAACTCAACTACAGCATAAAGGTTAAAGGAAAAGAAGATTAAACATAACAATGGCTACTACAACTTGGTAACAAAATCTCAGCACAAAAAAGAGATAATTTGTGACATCAAAATATAAAAGGGGAAGAGCAAAAGGATGGAACTTTTGTAAGCCAACAAAGAGAAATTGCTGTTAGCAGGAAAAGGACTTTCTGTCTCTGAGATATTTAATGTAGACCTCATGGTAACCACGAAGCAAACATCCAGAACAGAGACACAAAACACAAAAAGGGGAGACAGAATAACCAGAAGGCAAAAGATAAAAGGACAGCAGTAAGTCCTTACATGTCAGTAATCTCTCTCTCTCTTTTTTTAAGATTTATTTATTTTAGAGAACGAGCACTAGCGGGAGGGGCAGAGAGAGATGGAGAGAGGGAATCTCAAGCAGACTCCACACTGAGCGTGGAGCCCAAAGTGGGGCTCGATCCCACAGCCCGAGATCACAACCTGAGCCGAAATCAAGAGTCATACACTTAACCCACTGTACCACCCAGGCGCCCTGTCAGTAATCTCTCTTAATGTCAGTGCACTGAACTCACCGATCAGAAGGCACGGAGTGACTGGATGGATTAAAGCCACAAGTCCCAACTCTCTGCTGCCTACTGGAGACTCATTACAGCTCTAAGACACACACAGGCTCATGTTGAAAGGATGGAAAATGATATTCCAAGCAAACAGAAACAAAAAGAAGACAAGCATAGCCATACTCGATACCAGACAAAATAAACTTAAAGCCAGAATGGGTAACAAGAGTCAAAGAAGGTATTTATATGATGAAATGGGTCAATACATCAAGAAGATGTAATGGTTGTAAAAATACATCCATTCTCAATACCTGATCACCAAAGTACATTAAGTAATTAATAACAAATCATAAGGGAGAAATAGATATTACAGTAATTAGAGGGGACGTCAGATACCCCGCTGTCAACAATGGATAGATCATACAGACTGAAAACCAATAAGGAAAAATTATACTGAACCACACTTTAAAGCAAATGGACTTAAAAGACATACACAGGGCGCCTGGGTGGCTCAGTTGGTTAAGCGACTGCCTTCGGCTCAGGTCATGATCCTGGAGTCCCGGGATCGAGTCCCGCATCGGGCTCCCTGCTCGGCAGGGAGTCTGCTTCTCCCTCTCCCACTCCCCATTTGTGTTCCCTCTCTCGCTGTGTCTTTCTCTGTCAAATAAATAAATAAAATCTTAAAAAAAAAAAAAAAAAAAGACATACACAGAGGATGCCTGGGTGGCTCAGTCAGTTAGGCATCTGCCTTCGGCTCAGGTCATGATCCCAGAGTCCGGGTATCGAGTCTCACATCGGGCTCCTTGCTGGGCGGGGAGCCTGCCTCTCCACTCTCCCTCTGCCTCTGCCTGCTGCTCTTCCTTCTCGTGGTCTCTTGCTGTCGCTTACAAATAAATAAAATTTTTAAAAAAAGGTAAAATAGAATCTTAAAAAAACAAAGACATACACAGATATTCCATCCAACAGCTGCAGAATACACGTTTTTCAATCACACATGGAACATTCTTCAGAATAGATCCCTCCCCCTTTTTCTAAAGGTTTTATTTTTAAGTAATGTCTACACCAAATATGGGACTCGAACTCAGTGCCTCTCCAAGGTAGATCCTGATAGGCCATAAAACTAACCTTACTTTTGGGGCACCTGGCTGGCTTAGTCAGTTAAACGTCTGCCTTTGGCTCAGGTCACGATCCCAGAGTCCTGGGATTGAGCCCTGCGTTGAGCTCCCTCCTCAGTGTGGAGTCTGCTTCTCCTTCTCCCTCTGCTACTCCCCCTGCTTGTGCGCTCTCTCTCTCTCTCTTAAGTAAATAAAGTCTTTTAAAAAAGAGAGATTCAGTCAATAAATCTAAACACAGAAAACTCCAGGACCAAATGACTCACTGGCAGAAATTCTACCAAATACTGAAGAAGAATTAACATCAGTTCTTCTCAAACTCTTCCAAAATATCAAGAAGAGGACACTTCCAGACTCATTCTTACCAGGCAGCATTACTTTGATACCAAGACCAGATGAGGATACCACAGGAAAACTACTGACCAATATCCCTGATGAATGTAGATGCAAAAATTCTCCACAAAAATACTAGCAAATTGAGTTCAGCAACACTCAATGAGTAAGATTATATTCTATGACCAAGTGGGATTTATATCTAGGATGCGAGGCTACTTCAGCACACAAATCAATAAATGTAACACATCAACGTCAATAAAATGAAAGATAAAAATCATGTGATCATCTCAATAGATATGGAAGAAACGTGGCGAGATACAGCATCCTTTCATGATTTAAAACAAAACAAAAAAACACACTTAGCAGACTGGTTATAGAAGGAATGTCCCTCAACATAATAAAGGCCATACACAACAAACCCACAGCTAACGTTATTCTCAGTGGAGAGGAATTAAAAGTGTTTCCCTTAAAATCAGGAACAAGGCAAGGATGCCCATTCTCTCCACTCCTATTCAATATAGTACCAGAAGTCCTAGCCAGGGCAATTAGGCAGGACAAAGAAAAAGAAGAAAGGCATCCATGTTGGAAAGGAAAAAGTCAAATTCTCGTTTTTTGCTGATGATATGATCCTATATAGAGAGAATTCCAAAGAATCAGTCAAAAAACTTAGAATTAACAATTTCAGTGAAGTGGCAGAATACAAAATCAACATCCAGAAATCAATTGCATTCCTTTACAGTAATGATGAAGCATTGAAAAAGAAAGAAAACCATCCCAATCACAATAGCATTAAAAACAAAATACTTAGGAATAAATTTAACCAAGGAAGTAAGAGATCTGCACAGTGAAAACTGCAGGACTTTGCTGAAAGAAATTGAAGAGGATACAAACAAATGGAAGGGCATCTCATGTTCATGGGTTGAAAAATCTAATATTGTAAAGATCAGTTAAATTGCAGTCCCCATCAAAAAACTGAAGGCATTCACAGAAGAAACAATTCCTAAAATGTGTGTGGAACCATAAAATACTCCAAATAGCCAAAACAGTCCTGAGAAAGAACAAAGTTGGAAGTATCACACTTCTGGATTTCAAACTGTACGACAGAGCCACAATAATCAAAACAGTGTGGTACTGGAACAAAAATAGACACATCTGGGGCCCCCGGCCGGCTCAGTCAATGGACATGTGACTTGATCTCAGGGTCTTGAGTTCAAGCCCCATGTTGGGCCTAGAGCTTACTTTAAAAAAAAAGTTAGACACATCAACCAGTGGAATAGAACAGAGCTCAGAATTAAACCCCATCAGATACAGTCAACATAATATTCAACAAAGGAGCCAAGAATACTCAATGGGGAAAGGATAGTGTTTTGACACATGGTTGGGGAAAAATGGAGAAACTTGCAGAACGACGAAATTGGACCCCTGTTTCACACCACTCATAAAAATTAGCTCTGGGCACCTGGGTGGCTCAGTTGGTTAAGCGACTGCCTTCGGCTCAGGTCATGATCCTGGAGTCCCGGGATCGAGTCCCGCATCGGGCTCCCTGCTTGGCGGGGAGTCTGCTTCTCCCTCTGACCCTCCTCCCTCTCATGCTTTCTGTCTCAAATAAATAAATAAAATCTTAAAAAAAAAAAAAAAAAAATTAGCTCATAATGGATCAAAGATTTAAACAAAAGATCTGATACCATAAAACTCCTAGAAAAAAACTTAAAGAAGAGGCCTGTCAATATTGGTCTTAACAGAGGCGCCTGGGTGGCTCAGTCATTAAGCGTCTGCCTTCGACTTGGGTCATGATCCCAGGGTCCTGGGATCGAGCCCCGCATCGGGCTCCCTGCTCGGCAGGAAGCCTGCTTCTCCTTCTCCCACTCCCCCTGCTTGTGTTCCCTCTTTTGCTGTGTCTCTCTCTGTCAAATGAATAAATAAAATCTTTTAAAAATATATATATTGGTCTTAGCGATAATTTGGGGAGCATGACATCAAAAGCACAAACAACAAAAGAAAAATTAACAAATGGGGCTACGTCAAACTCAAAAGTTTCTGCACAGCAAAAGAAACAACAAAATAAAAAAACCCTAAAGAATGGGAGAAAAATTTTGCAAGCCATATGTTGGATAAAGGGTTAATATCCAAAATATATAAAGAACTCAGTCAACTGAAACAACAAAAGAAGTATGGTTTTTAAAAATGGGTAGAAGCTTTGCGCAGTGGCAGTATCGTAGCCAATGAGGTTTATCCGAGGCACGATTATTGCTAATTAAAAATGGGTAGAATAACTAAACAGACATTTCTGCGAAGAGATCAGATGGCCAACAGACACACGAAAAGGTGCTAAGCGTCTCTCATCAGGGAAACGCAGATCAAAATCACAATGAAATCTCACCTCATCCCTGTCAGAATGGCTTTCTTCATCGAGAAGACAAGGGACACAGGTGCTGGCGAGGACATGGTGAAAAGGGAACCCTTGTGCACTGTCGGGGGGAATGTAGATTTGTCCGACTGGTATGGGAAACCATATGGAGGTTCCTCAAAAAATGTAAAGTAGACTCACTGTACGATCCAGCAATTCCAGTTCTGGGTATATACGCAAAGGATGAAAACAGGATCTAGACAGGATCTCTGTACTTCTGTGTTTATTGCAGCATTATTCACAATAGCCAAGGTATGGAAACAACTCAGACGCCCATCCACAGATGAATGGATAAAAAGGATGTGGTTCATGTACACAGTGGAATATTATTTAGCTGTGAGAAAGGAGGATCTCCTGCCTTCTGCACCAACATGGACAGACCTTAAGCACATGATGCTGAGTGAGTGAAGTCAGACAAAAACAAGTACTTAATGATCCCACTTATATGTGGCATTTATCCAAGTTCAACCTATAAAGCACAGACAGCAAATGGTGGTTACCTGGCAGCGCGGGTGGGGAGATGAGTGGTGGTGTTTCAGGGTACAGATTTGTAACAAGCAGTAAGTAAGCCACAGAGATCCACCACCCTGCGCTTGTCCACAGATGACCTCAAAAGTGCCACGATTACTGATCTGGGGCTACCGATAAATTTACCCAGCCGGTGAATTCACAAGCACAGAATCTGTGAACGATGAGGACCAACTTTGTAATTAATGTGCAGGTGCCGAAATGTGTGGTATGAGCTGCCGGGACAGAAATGACAATCCGTGTGAGCTAGAAGTTAGTTGTAACTTGTTATAAGTGTAAAATAGCATAAAATCAAAGGTAGCCACGCCAAACCAGTCACTAGCCCAAGCCCATGAGGACAAAAACCTTGCCTGTTTTCACATGATACTGTGTCCCCAGTATCTGGAAGAGCCCTTGCAGCTCACGGGGATGCAGGAAATGGAAATCAAGGGCTGTGAGGGGTCAGCGGTGCCATTTTAAACAGGAAGATCAGGGCAGGAACACAACCGGGGAAGGCTGTGTGAAGGAGGGGGTACATCCCAGTGGGGAGGAAAGATAGGCCCCTGAGGGGCAGAGTGGCAGGTGGATTGGAGTGGGCGGAGCAGGAACAGGGACAAGAGCAGGGCCCGGTCATAGACTGTGGGGCTCGCAGGAGCAAAACCATGGCCTCCCTGTTTTCCATGGGGTTGAGAGGCTCCAGCTGGTGCTCATCACTCCTGACACTCGTTGGGCGGTTAGGTGTAAGTGTTGCTTCTGTTTGCTCCAGGCGCCCTGCTGGAAAAGAAGGTGGACGTGGACAAGCGTGGACTGGGAGTGACCGACTACAATGGAGTGGTCACCAAAGCCCTTGGCTGCCGCCCACCAGTCTCCAAAGACTCTTCCGGGGACCGCCCCACCTTTCTCGACAAGGTATGAATTTAGGGGGTGTTTTGTTTGTTCATTTTTAACAAGAGGTATTTTTCATTTTAACTCTGTCCTTAATGCAAGCTGGATTCAATACTTGCCGGACTGCATGTAATATTTAAGTGACTTTTACCCACTTTTTAAAAATATATGTGAACGTTTAACTCAGAAGAAATAGTGTTACTGTTACACGATGTAGGTAGGGTTAAAAAGTACCAAAATTGAAAACTGATTTTCATTTTAGTGGGTGAACTTGGCTGGCTTATCTGCTTCAATTTGTCCAATAACAAGGGTCATCAAATTTGTTTTACTGTCTTATTTTATAAGACATTGGAAATGATGTGTTACGTGTTTAATCTGAGAAAAAGAAACTAGAAGTGGTTGGGCGCAGGCACCCGTGTCTAGTCGGCCCAGCTCGGCTGCTTCCGAGAGCGTGCGGGTGTCTGCTGGAAGCCCCTGGGGTGATTCCACGTGTCCAGACACCGGTTCAGCCCCTTCAGGATAGTCATGTACTGATGTCCCCTCTCCAGATGGGTATGCCTTCAAAAGGAGGGGGAGAACAGCATCCCATGAAAATCAGTCAAAATGTTGAACCTTGAAAATAAAATTGCAGCCAGAAAGGACAGGTTTAGAAACAAAACACAATAAAGCAGAAAGGCTCACAGGAGAGAGAGATAACACTTCATCTCTGCCCACAAACGAACAGGATCCTCGGCCACACACTCCCCTCCAGAAAGCTGTGGCTGGGTAGGGCCTGGGGGGAGGGTCAGGTCTGCCCTGCCCCCTGCTGTGCCTCCGCTCACATCCAAGCTCCTTAGTGAACTTGGAGTACACATAAACAGCCAGTCATAGGTGGAGCACACTTAGTCTAAAATATTATTTGTTGTTTATGTGAGATTCCAGTTTAATTTGGTATCTTGTATTTAACTTGCTAAGTGCGGGACCCTGACTTATTTCCTTATCTTTAAAATGTAGAATAATACCAAAAAAAGAAAGAAAGAAAGAAAAGAAATGAAGAATAATACTACATGCTGGTTGTGGAGTTAGAGGAGATAAATTTGCAAAGGGCCTGACACATAATGTGACCTTAATAATGTAAAAGAGTAAGATCCATCTGCTTTATAACTTACCCTGTTATTGGATTAAACCATATGAAACAGCTGAATGTCGGCAGAATGCAACCAAATGTACCCCTAGAGCCCTGGTACTGAAGGAAGGCAGCCTGTTTATTTGAAAATGGTTGTAAAGTGTTTTCCAAATAAGACTTGCTAATGTTTCTGTGCTTCTCCTGAGCCCTGCACCGGGCAGAGTCAGCAGGGTCTGAGCACATTGTAAGCTAATGTATGTGTGAAGTAATGGTTATGAGAACAGCATCTTAATCCTCTTTCTCTTTTTCTTTTCCCCTCTTCCTTTGGCCCATGTTCTCCATTCTCTTGTTACCCACACTTTTTTGATCTTTCAATTCTTTATCCATCCATACCCCTTTATATGTCCTTGGGAAACTGCTTTGTGCATTGTCTGCGGATGGACACTGCATGCAGCTCACCCTTTCTTTCTCCAATCAGGACGGCGGCCTAGTGGAAGAGCCCACGACTTCACCGTTTTTGCCTTCACCAAGCCTGAAGCTCCCCCTTTCAAACAGTGCACTCCCTAATCAGGCCCTGGGTGGGATTGCCTCAGGGCTGGGCATGCAAAACTTGAATTCTTCTAGACAGGTAAGGCTGTGGGGAGAGAGTCATTGTGGTCTCGGTTTCACCTGCCTCTAACAAATGTGTTTGGGACATACACTTTGATTTTTAACTAATACCTGTACTTTAAAATACAGTCGAGGGCGCCTGGGTGGCTCAGTTGGTTAAGCGACTGCCTTCGGCTCAGGTCATGATCCTGGAGTCCCGGGATCGAGTCCCACATCGGGCTCCCTGCTCAGCGGGGGGTCTGCTTCTCCCTCTGACCCTCCTCCCTCTCATGCTGTCTCTCATTCTCTCTCTTGCAAATAAATAAAATCTTGCAAATAAATAAATACAATACAATACAATACAGTCGAGTATGTTAAGGTAGCTGAAATAGGAGAAGGATTTCCCTTCAGGTGATGTACAGGTTTGGGAGTTGAGTCCAGTTCTTGAAATTGAACCATGTTGTAGGAAATGCTTCCAAACTTTATTTATTTTTACACATAACGAGCACACACGTGAGTTCAGTGCCCTCAGTGCTCAGTATTGCTGGTTTAAATGGTGCGTCCTGCAGGGTGGTCTCCAGCTGCCAGGTCCCTTCATGGATCTGGGTGATGCCATCCTGTGCACCAGCGGTCCAAACCTTCCATACCATGGTCTTTGAGAAAACACCACGTGCTCCCCCTGCTCCCTGAAATAGAGGTGACATCCCTGTGGTTTCCAGAGAGCCATGTTGGTGTTTTCCCTTCTCTGACACTCAGGGGAGGTGAGAGCCCCTGTCAGGCATCACAGAAGGGAGGACTTCGAGTTTGTGTTGACCACGGCTCCATGGCCCTTGTGTCTCCCAGTCCCCCTGGAAGACATGACCCGTCCGTAGGACGTCCTTTTCATGGATTCGCTCGCACGGGAGGCTGACACGCACCCACCTCTGAAGCAGCTCTTTAAGTAGACGCTGTGATGTTTGGGGCGGCCCAGCAGGGCCACGTGCGCGCCTGTAGTCCCAGGGTAGCAGTTGGTGGGGCCTCAGCCCGCGGTCTCACGTGGCTGATGCTGCTGGTGGTTCAGTGCAATGCCTGCTTTCCGGGGGTTCTGCCATCGGACGGCGAACAGGCCGGCGGGCGGGGTGCTGGGAGCGAGCCCACCCGCTGCCGCAGAGCAGAAAGTACGCCTAAAATGCAGTGCTGCTATTTAACACAACGGTAACTGCCTGGATTTATCCATTTATTCACCTTCCGCTTTGGTTGAAATTATACTCCTGTTTCCTACTTGAAAATGTTGCTGGCCCCAGGTTAGCGGTCCGCACCCCACCGCAGATAGCCTGTGAGAAAAGCTTCCGAACCCCATGGCGTGCGTTGCTGTTGTTTGGAACACTGTATTATGATAGTTTCTGTGGACGCGGTAGCCTCGTTTGGGGCCCCTTTCCGACTGGCACTGTCGCGTGAAGACATGGGCAGCCTTCATGGCTGGCGGCCCGTCGTCCACAGCCAGCCTGCCCGGCAGCATCTACTGTGAGTTCACTTCAGTAGAAGTCATAGAAGCCGACAGCAGTAGGAAGTAGGGAGGATTTTGCTGTCGCATTTAGGAAGGCAGAGCCGCCTCCAGAGCTCCGGGGGCGCCCGGCTCCGTAGCGACCCGGCCCGTGCCATCTCCCCGCAGATGCCGAGTGGCAGCCTGGGTATGTTCGGCAGCAGCGGAGCAGCGCAAGCCAGGACAATGCAGCCGCCGCCGCAGCCCCCCGTGCAGCCTCTGAGCTCCTCCCAGCCCAGCCTCCGTGCTCAAGTGCCTCCGTTTCTATCCCCTCAGGTGGGACCCGCGGCGACTCGGATGGGCGTTGTGTGTGTCTGTGCCGCTCGACGTCACTGTTTGAAAGTGAGAGCCAGTTCATTCACCCACCCCGAGCGCGGCCTTCCTCTCCGCCCGTCCACCGGTCTCCCGGCCCCCCGGCCCCCCGGCCGCAGGAGGCGTTTTCAGAACGGCCCCTGGGGGCGCCCCCGCCAGCCGCGGCCCGGCTAGGCGTCCACCGGTCGGGAGCCATGCCGCTGGGTGAAAAGATCCACCTCACACGCACTGTAATGCGGTTCTTGTCCGGGTCTTAACAGAATTATTCAGATGAACCCGATGAATTGTCCTAGGTGGGAGAGGAAAATGACAAGCTGAAACATTGCTTAACCCGTAAGGGGGCACGTAAGAGCACTCAGGGCCTGAAGAATGCTTTGGTGGCCACCTGCATGTGATCATAGATCATATTATATATTAATATATTGCTGGCTCCTTAGTTAAGTTTATTACTTAGTATTAGACCATTTTTGCCCAGAGATTCTTTAAAAAAAAAAAAAGTGTCAAACAGAAAAGGAAAAGGATATCTTGTTTTGCATAGCTCTAAAGCATATAGATTTTTTTCACGTTAATTATGTTTACTTTTAGAACATTCCATAATTTTACACTTTGGACTGAGTTTTTCCTTACAGTGTTTCAGTCCTCATCCCTTTTAAAAATATTCAGTGATAGATTACTAATGATAAGCTATAGAATTAGTTGGAAGTAGTTAACCCTCCACAATTGGTTGAACCCAGATTTGTGCACTGAGTTGAGATGGCTGAAATGTAGGTGAAACAAGAGTTAAATTCATTCATCAGGATACAGGGTGGGCCGCGATACCAGACACCCCAGAGTGCAGAGGCTTAGACAAGACAGGCATTCGCTTCTCTGGGTGGCCATGCAGGAGGTAGCGGCTCAGGGCTGTGGGGCGCCTCTGCCACAGCCCTTCCCGATTGCTGGAAGCTGCACAGAACACATCCACTTGTGTCCCACTGCCTGCGCCTGGGGACACAGCCACCCCGCCTGAGGGGCGGAGGGAGAGCTGGGCCTGGGTGACCGGCAGCAGGCTTCCCACACTCAGCAGAGCACGTGTTACCCTTGTGCCCCACATGACCTGTACTGTCACACAGCGTGTTTTCTTTAAATGACTTGCCTGCTTAAATAAGTGTGTTCTTAAAGCAAACTTTACCTACCTGTCATAAGTAGGAAAAAAAATCACATTTTTCTGATACACATTAGACAACTATTAAAGTGAAAGAAGCCCGTCCATGTTCTACCTAAAATCAATCTTGCATAAATGTTGTGATAAACATACATAACCCATGGTGGAAAACATTGAAATCTCCAGCGCCAGGCCCCAGATTGTTTCAGCGCAGTGAATTCCAGTTGAAGAGATCCCCCTGAACGGGAATGTGGATTGACGGTCCAGGGCAGGGCCGGCAGAGGGCGCAGACCACTTCCTGAGCCCATCCTGGGCAGAGACCCTCCTGGGGGTGGCGTGGTGCCTGCCAGCAGGAGCGACTTCTTCCCTGAGACCCCACATTCACTATCTCCCGTCCTTAAATTATGCCCATTTATTTTCACTGTGACAGAATGTGAGATCAGTTTTCGAAAGGAGTTACCCAGAGCCCTAGCATCTTAATTCGTGTCTAAAATATTTGGCAGTGGAAGGCTCTTTCTCTCCTTCCTTCCTTATATTCTACAGAAGCATGTTAACTACTAATGGCAAAAAGCCCATGAGTTTTTTAATGGCTTTTGAAGTTCATTCTTGAGACAAGCATAACTGTCATTAATTCATCAGTTCTGCATCTTGAAACACTGCCTGGACAGGTGGCCATTTCGACAGGGACACAGTGCCTGACACTCTGTGTTGTGTTCAACAGGTTCAAGCACAGCTTTTGCAGTTTGCAGCAAAAAACATTGGTCTCAACCCTGCACTATTGACCTCGCCAATCAATCCTCAGCATATGACGATGTTGAACCAGCTCTATCAGCTGCAGCTGGTAAGTGGACAGATCATTCAGCTTCTAGAACTAAGGAAGAGTGCACACTGACATTCGTGAAGCTATGCCAGCAACCTAGCCACTAATAAAAGTAGTTAGTTAATGCCTCACTTTCTTCATGTCAGACTGTTGAAAAAATTAGGAAGTTTTTCACTTAAGAGTGTCAATTCTCTGGCCCCATCACAGAGTGTCCCAGACCTTACCAGGAGGCGTGTCCTTCAGCTCAGGGTCTCAGCTAGCCTTTCTCATCCAGAGTTTCCCGTCAGAACCACAGAACACAGAAACTCGTTTGAGTGACGATTCTCTAAGTTCTTCAAGGGTGGGACACACAAAGACTGTTCTGGAAGCGTGAAAGAGAAGTTACTTCATTACATGCAGTAGATGCCATAGAGATTAGGGTTTAATGCCCTCTCACAATCCCTTTTAAGAAAGGCTGATGTAGCCTAATAATTCTTGAAAGTTTTACAATTTAACATACCTTAAATTTTTAATTTTCAACAGTCTTACTGCTTTTACCATAAAATGCCGTGTCACTGTATCTCTAGATGCATACTGGATTTATATACACTAAAAGACCTTTCTTTAATATGTTGACACCTGCTTTATTTCGAAGTCTTGTCCAGTAACTTCATCTCCTTGAAAATGACCAGGAATCCTTAAGGAAGGAAAAAAGGCCTCTGGTAGACAAAAGCATTGATGCCAAAGCTTTCCTTATAGGAGAGCCCTGGGCCCTGTCAGTCCTCACGAGATCTAACCAGTCTAAGGGGTCCAGTTTTCCAGTAAGTAGCAGTGTGGGATGGGAGGAAGAAAGTGCCCAGAGAAAATCGTAGTTTCAGGGAGAACACAGAGCTCAGGAAGTGGGGTCACGACTATGTTAGGCTCTCAGAGGCTGTTTCTTTGTCCATAAAATTGGAGATGGGGGGCACCTTGCGGCGTGGTAGGAAGGCTTCCCAGGACCTGAAAGCGCGGTGGGTGGGTGGTTCGAATGCACAGGACTATTGCTTTTACTACCAGCAGCAACAGGGAGAGACCCCTGACCTCAAAGATAGAGAAGGAAACAACCATAAAAGTCAGGCACACATTTAAAAAGCATATTATGTAGAGGTATTATTATAGAGGAAAGTAGCTTTCTGCTTCTTGGTAACAGTGAAGACATGGCTGTATTCTGACATAAGACATAGCTAGTTACCATACTGATGTTCTAAAATCTCTTATTTATATGGTAATTTTTATTGACCCCTATAATGTGAAAGACATCAAGAAAATCTCTTTTTTTTCCATTGAGGCATTTTATTTACACATACATATTACATCTGTAGAAAAAGAAGCCCAGGATTTTCCCTCCTGTGCATTTTCATCTTGATTCTTCGTGGTCCATAATGCTAGCTGAGCTTGTCAGTACAATGAAACCAAACTGGCAGGACAGGAGCAGATTATATCCGCCATTTTTCTAGATCTTTGAGTTATACATCAGAACTGGGGCTGATCTCTCCACACTTGTTTAACCTGCCCGTGAGGTTGACAATGATTTTCCCAGCTGATAGACAAAAGCATTGATGCCAAAGCTTTTCTTACAAGAGAGCCCCAGGCCCTGTCAGTCCTATAACCCTTACTGCCCATTAGACTCAGTCTAACCAGTCCAAGGGGCCAGTTTTCCAGTAGTAAGTAGAGCCCCAGGCCCTACTTACTACTAGAAACCCGACAATGATATTGGAGCATGGCCTAGTAAGAGTCTGGCCTTCGCCTCTCTCTTCAGCATTGTTAGTGCTCTTGAGAGCCTCTACCAGGACATTCATGTGAACCATGATGGCAGCACGGAAAAAGATGGTGGAAAAAGCAAGAAAATCTTGAATTATGTTTAATGTGTTCTGTTTTACAAACAATTCATACTGTTTAAAAAAAATTTTTTTTTCCAAAAATTCGTAAAATAAAGTTTTGGTGCATCCTGAGGTTGTTTTAGGACCTTTAAGGATTCACTTAAGTGGAGTATTTTATTCCTCTATAATTTACAGATTAATGAGGCATTTCTAATAGTATAGTCTCCATATGGATCTTGTTTTAATAAATCCTCTTGCTAAACATGTCCTCAAAAATCCGTATTATAAGAAAAAAATGTATGATCGGCAGCCAGCATTTTGAAGCGATCAAATGACGGAACCTCCGCATGGCTGTGTGGAAGGTGCTCACGGTTTGCCAGCTTGGCAGGTGGGCCTGTACCAGCAGTGCCACAGGCCGGTTTCAGGCAGCCTGTGGGGGGGACATCATCATGCGGCCCCTGGCACTCCCAAGCCTTGAGTCTGTGTTGTTCTGATTATCCGGGGTGGCCACTCACTCTGTTCTGCTAGGGTCTGAGCCACTCTGGATAACTTTCATCTATATCACTGTAAGAATCAGTAGTTTTTCGTTTTCCCATCATTTCTTTTACTTTTAGTTTGTAAGATTTGAGGAGAAGAATTTTGATCTCTTCGTTAACTGAAAAATATTTGCTGACAAATCTCATTACCTACACTAAAGGGTACTGACTGAATTACTTTTTAAAAATCTACGTGCTAGGGGCGCCTGGGTGGCTCAGTCGTTAAGCGTCTGCCTTCGGCTCGGGTCATGATCCCGGGGTCCTGGGATCGAGCCCCACATCGGGCTCCCTGCTCCGCGGGAAGCCTGCTTCTCCCTCTCCCTCTTCCCCTGCTTGTGTTCCCTCTCTCGCTGTCCCTCTCTGTCAAATAAATAAATAAAATCTTAAAAAAAAAAAAATCTGTGTGCTAGAAGGGTTTGGGAAAGACATTTCTCCTTTTATTTTTTTTTTATTTTATTTTTTTAAAGATTTTATTTATTTATTCATGAGAGATAGAAAGGGAGAGAGAGAGGCAGAGGCAGAGGGAGAAACAGGCTCCCCGCGGAGCAGGGAGCCCGATGCGGGACTCGATCCCAGGACCCTGGGATCATGACCTGAGCTGAAGGCAGACGCTTAACCGACTGAGCCACCCAGGCATCCCGACATTTCTCCTTTTAAAAATGCTTCTACCTCACAGTATGCTTAAACCATAGTGTGGTAAGGGGACCAAGAATCTTGGCTGTTTTCTCTCTCTCTTTTTTTTTAATATACAAAAGTTGAGCCATTTGTTGATGGCTTTCTTACAGTATCTTAACTGTTTTCTGTCAACAGGCATACCAACGTTTACAAATCCAGCAGCAGATGCTACAGGCTCAGCGTAATGTTTCCGGACCCATGAGACAACAGGAGCAGCAAGTAGGTATCGCCTGGGGGGTGTAGCTGGACTTGCTAGCGCCCATCTTGCCTGATCTGAAGTTGCTAGAGGGCAAACTGTTATGTTGTCATTGACTTTTCTCTCGCTAACCCCCCCCTTTTAGCAGTCTCAGGGTCACCTTGGTTTGGGAGCAGGTGGGTCCAACCAGCGGAGACTGAATGCCCTGGGTCTGGAGACAAGTGACGTGCACCACTCTCAAACCTTTTCCAACTCGCATCTCTGCCGCCAGGTTGCGCGCACAATCACTAACCTGCAGCAGCAGATCCAGCAGCACCAGCGCCAGCTGGCCCAGGCCCTGCTCGTGAAGCCGCCGCCACCCCCGCCGCACCTGTCTCTGCACCCCTCTGCAGGCAAATCGGCCATGGACAGCTTCCCCCCCCACCCCCAGGCCCCCGGCCTGCCCGACCTGCAGACCAAAGAGCCACAGTCTTCACCCAGCACCTTTGCTCCTTACCCTCTAGGTGAGTCCCCGCACTGCGGGCCGGCGCTCTCTCCCAAGGCGAGCACCACTGGCCGTCTTCTGCAGAGCGAAATTCTGCTATGGCCGTAAATACCTTCTAGTATAAAGTCTTTTAAAGGAGCACCAGCGAGAGCCCCAGAATTCCCTCATTTCTGTTGTCAAATCAGTTTGTTCTGTTCCTGGTTTCCTGCTCTTCAGCAGCCACCATCCCCCACCTAACTGCAGGGATGAGTTTATAATGGTTTTACTAGTAAATGTGTTTAGATTTTTAAAAATCAGGTACTTCTTGGAAAGCAGTGGTTGTCCATACAAGCCTTGTAGTGTAGACGATGGTTTGTATAATCTGCCAAATCAACATGCATGTGTTGACCCCTAACCTGTAGGAAGCATGCTCAGCACATGAAATCCGCGGGTCGGCAGAAGACACGGTGCCACCCTCCAGGTCCTACAAGCCAGCCAGGAGGGGCACGGGTTACATAACTGCAGGCAGGATCGAGGAAATGTCCCAGGGAGGTATATCAGTAAATGGATTATACGTGAACCAGTTTGATGTAAGAATCCAGAACCTGGTGACCGCTCTCAGGCTTGTCTGCTAGGTGGCTGTTAGTATGAAGCTCCAGGACAAAGGGAACCAGTAACCCAGGAAATACATATCAGGAGCAAAGGTCAGATGCGTGATAGTGAGTTTGCTACTGGCTGATGGTGTCCCTTTCCTTCATACTGCCCTGAAAAGAGCTGTAAATCCTAATCGTACGAGCATGTTCTCCTTGACATGCAGTCCTTATGGTATGTCCTTAATATGAACCTGATGAATGCTAACTGTAATCATCCCATCCCTTTCTCATTGCCCCACGCTCACAGCCCTTTGTGTGCACGGAGGACAGTCTGGTGGCCGAGGCCTGGCTGGAGAGGTGACCCACCACGCCGAGTCCCAGCTCCACCAGGGCTGGCTCAGCACTTCCTTGCATGACTTGCCCGACTGTCTCTGCCTCAATTCCCCATTTAAAGGGGTCCTTTAAAGATTAAGTGAGATAATACGTGAAGTTCTCAGGACAGTGCTGCATGCAACAAGCCCTTTGTGAGACGTGAGCCAGACACAAGCCCATCTTGTTGAGGAGCCCTTTCAGAAACCGGTTCCGTTGTCTGTTACCCGGAAAAGCTTCTGCTTCAGCTTGCTAGTGTCCATCTGGCCTCTCAACCTATTTTTGGAGAGTAAAGTACACTAATCTTTATTCTTAAAGATTTTTTTCTTAATACAAATGAAAAAATTAGTACAGTGGCTCTTCAAAATTAGATGAAAAATAATTTTGATAATATTCACATTAAACTTACAAACTTATTGAAAATAAAGAGCGGGATGCGTGGCTGGCTCTTGATCTCGGGGTTGTGAGTTCAAGCCCCACATTGAGTGTAAAGATTACTTAAAAATAAAATCTTAAGAAAAAAAGAAAGAGGGCGCCTGGGTGGCTCAGTTGGTTAAGCGACTGCCTTCGGCTCAGGTCATGATCCTGGAGTCCCGGGATCGAGTCCCGCATCGGGCTCCCTGCTCGGCTCCCTGCTCGGCAGGGAGTCTGCTTCTCCCTCTGACCCTCCTCCCTCTCATGCTCTCTGTCTCAAATAAATAAATAAAATCTTAAAAAAAAAAAAAAAGAAAGAAAAGAAATAGCTAATCAGGGGCGCCTGGGTGGCTCAGTTAAGTATCTGCCTTCAGCTCAGGTCATGATCACGGGTCCTGGGATCGGCCCCACGTCAGGCACCTTGCTCAGCGGGGAGTCTGCTTCTCCCTCTGCTGCTCCCCCTGCTTGTGCTCTCTCTCTCTCTCTCTCTGACAAATAAAAATCTTTAAAAAGAAAAAATAGCTGATCCAGTATAAGAAACTTAGCCTATAAAATTTCCTCTCTGCTTGGTTCTTGGCATTTTTCTTCAATGGTTGTAGCTCCGTCCACCTTCCTTCCCACGCAGCGTCTCCTTACTCTGCTGTTTCTTAACTGCTGGAATTTGTCGTCCACACGGGAAGATCAGGCACAGAATAATGAAAAACAGCTTCATAGGCAGTGCTACAGAGAAGGGAGAGCTGGTGTTCACCATGAATGGTGAAAGAAAAACCCAGCACAGGGGCCAAGCGTGGATCTCAGATGAGCAGGACTTCAGTGACCAGAGCCTGGCAGGACAGGGCATGCCCTGGGCAGTCATGCTAACTTGTGGCGGGGGGCCACAGATGAGCGGGCAAGCTGGGGAGGCCGGGCTGCAGCCCGGCCTCACTGTCCCCTCACCCAACTACATGTCTGCAAATGGAAGCGAAGGTTGCCTTCCGTGCCAACCTCACACAGACAGCCACTGGCGGCATCTGACCTGCCCAGGTGGTGTGTTTCATCTGCAAAGTGTGTGTGTGTGTGTGTGTGTGTGTGTGTTAATTACCAATGTTTACAAATTGGAAATTTTTAAATAAAAGTAACTTCTTGCTTCTCTTAAAATGGCTCCGTGGGGTCTGCCTTCCCTGTGGCTGTCACAGGCTGGCACCAGCAGCTGGCACTCTGGGTGGGACAAGCACCGTCAGGTTCACCACCATCCCCACTTCACAGCCGCCTGGCCCATGTAGGCATTTGAGTTTGCAGACATGGATTTAAAGCCAAGAACAAACCTGTTCAATACCTTGCTTACAAGTAGAGATGCACTTTGACTGACGTACCAGGATGTATGATCTGTGAATCCTGGGGTTATTCTCCATCACCGAGCATTCAGTCCCTGTCGGGGACTCTATATCGTCCTCCTCGCCCCTCTTTAGTAACCTGACATGGTGTTGCCAGATAACGGCAGCACGTGCTTTTAGCCGTAAGAAAGAAAACCCAGGATTGGCACACCGTTCCAGCCGGGGGCAGATGGCAGCCCTGCCACGCCCTCCAATAGGTCAAGTCCTTAAAAGGAGTCTGATATTTATAAACTCCTGAAGAGCAGACTTTCATAAAGTAAATTCACTAAAGGTGGAATGGAATTATCCCTACCAGCCTGTTCTGGTACTTTAGAACACTGTCTAGAACTCTGAAGGAGTTGTCCTGATCTGCTGAGTTTCCCTAAGATATCCTAAGATCAGAAAAGATTTTCCTCATTGTCTGGACTTGCCCTGTCTTTCTGTGGGTTCTGAGGAGCACCGGGACCGTGTTTAGCTCTGAAACAAGTGAAATGAAGAGAGTCATTGGTCTTACTTAACCAGAGAATATTCATTACCATTTCACCTTAATTCGGGAATAATATTCCTGGAAATATGTGTTGTTAAAAAGACAAAAAGCTTTTCTTTCTACCAGCATTAAAAGTTAAGAGTTAAGTGTGTGGCCATGAGTTAAGACTTGGATTGATTCTCCAGGAGAGCTTTAGGATGTAATAAAATTTAGAAGAAGAGCAGGCATATCCTAATAGCATTTTTATTTTTAGCCGGACTGAACCCAAACATGAATGTCAACAGCATGGACATGACTGGTGGTTTGTCGGTGAAGGACCCGTCTCAGTCCCAGTCACGCCTCCCTCAGTGGACACACCCCAACCCGATGGACAACTTACCCGGTGCTGCTGCTCCCCTCGATCAGAACCCCAGCAAGCATGGTATGTCCAGGCCGGGGTGCCTGTGGTCCAGTCGCTGCTGTTCCACTCGCTGACTCTCCGGTTGTAGAGCATGCTCCTGACTGTCCATGTAGAGCATGTAGAGCTGCATCTCTTGTCTGAGAATTCCACTAGAATGGAATCTTCCGTTCCATCACAGAGTGTGTAAGATCCCAGCTAGTGCACGGTCAAACTTCCTGAAACCTCAGCCTCCAGATCTTTGCTACAAACGCAGAAGGAGTTGAAAACGCCCCAGAGTAGCAAAGAATATTGGTCATAGCTGCATATTTTTTATTTATATCTGTACTCTTCAACAAAAAAATTTGTTTACTGAGAAGAAATTTTTTTCAATAAAATGATAAAACACAGTAGAAAATCAGATGCCTTGAAAAAAAGGAAGAAGCAAAAGTGCTAATAACCAGAGGCAGCGACCTCACTAGTAAGCATTAACTTTAGCTCCCAGTTTCCTAATAGCATAAATGGCAGAGAAAATGTAATAGGTGTATGATTCTCTCTTGATGTAAATATTCTAAAAGGAAAAACACAGTTTTTCCTAACGGTTAACTCTACAAGAGAATCATCACAGGCTGCCTGGGCACTTTCCTTGGCAGGAGAGGACGGCCACCCCTGGCCGGGTGGTCCAGTCCAGAAGATAAGGGCCCTGTGTTCACATGCCCAGTATGTCCTTCCAGAGGGAGGGCAGGACGCACGCAACCACAGAGTCCATCGCTAAGCACAGAGACTCATAAGCTGGTCCCAGAAAGGCACAGGCCCGCTTTCAATGATATGGGTTTGTGTTTTATCAAGATTTCCAACTCAACAAACTAAAATGGTTCTTAAGGAATTTTGGTTTTGGGGCGCCTTGCTGGCTCAGTCGGTTGAGCGTGCAACTCCGGGTCTCACGGTTGTGTGTTTGAGCCCCATGTTGGGGTAGAGATCACTTAAAAATAAAAGCTTTAAAGAATAAAAAGAATTTTGGTCTTCCACAGACAAATTTTAGGCTAACCAAAATAGTCACTTATCCTTAGAGAGTGCAGGACAAACCAAGTCTGATGGTTCATGTACCTCTGAAAGGGGCAGAGCCCGGTGCCTAGCAGTGAGGGCTCAGGGGCTCCCCTGTTCACTCAGCTCTTTGTCTCCTGCTGTCCCCGCAGGTGCTATCCCTGGAGGTCTAAGCGTTGGGCCTCCAGCTAAGTCCTCCATCGACGACTCCTACGGCCGGTACGATTTAATCCAGAACAGTGAGTCACCAGCCAGTCCTCCTGTAGCGGTTCCCCATAGCTGGTCACGTGCCAAGTCTGACAGTGATAAAATCTCCAATGGCTCCAGCATCAACTGGCCCCCAGGTGAGAGCATGCGGCACTTCCGTGCAGCGGCAGATCAGAGCCGCCCCAAGTCTGAGGACAGAGGTTCCGCTCCAGAGAAGCCAGGGTCTGGGCTGAGAGTCCTGGAAGCATGAACGCCATAGCTTTGGCTTTTCCACTGGAAATCCGTTTGTCATACGAATTTGGGAAGTGCTTAGCACCCAGCGCTTTCCTGTAGTCCCCTAGTTCAGTGAGAGGAGCGGAAGGAGAAGGGACGCTGTATTGCATCTGGCCAGACTGTTTCTAGACTCCACACCGTCTGAACACTCTCTTAATGTGGCAGTTCTAATCCCTGCTTCTAGCTTGTTCCAGAGGATTGATGATTTACTGAAAGTCTAGGATGTGTCTCCTGTTTTAACTAGCAGATTATAAGAATTTCCATAAATTGTCACGAAGGAATGTGAAGATACTATAATATTCATGTTTTGTTTTCCATTTTGTTTGGCATTTTCCAGAATTCCATCCTGGAGTTCCATGGAAAGGACTTCAGAATATAGACCCTGAGAACGACCCTGACGTCACTCCTGGAAGTGTCCCCACCGGGCCCACCATCAATACCACCATACAGGACGTCAACCGCTACCTCCTCAAGAGTGGAGGTGAGAACGGGGTGCTACCTGCTCGACATGGAAGGTCTCCCTGCGTGCATTCGGGGGCTCCGGGGTGGTGTGCGGGCCGCGGGGCAGGGACACTGTGAGACACATCTGTGGACACTTCTTACCATCTGGAGGTAGTGGTGATGGTGAACATGGAAATGGATGTCCTGGATTTATTAACACATTATTTCTGATCACTGTGTTATAAGATCCCAATATTAACCATTAAGCTTCCCAGTGAAAAAGTTCCCACTTAAAATCTATTTAAACTGCAGGTGAATCAACCCCTTCCTCCTCCATCTCGGTCTGTTTCCTTCCACAAAGTCTGGTAAAAAGACTGAAATCCGTTCCTGGCACAGCTCAGGGTGCTAGATTTGGGCACACCCTACGTCAGACTTGAGGATCCAGGAGGAGGCAGTGAGGAGCTGGCTGAGCCGTTGGAAGCATCCATGCAGCTCTCAGGCGTGATGCCAGGAGGGGCGGATGGAGCAGCTCTGGACGGGCCGGCGCCCATATGGTGGCTGCGCCGATGTCCCAGTAGAGGGAGGGAGTGGTAGGGTGGCCATGGCCACTCAGGTAGTCCCAGAATGTGCATTCGGGTTTCCTGCTTAAAGCAAGACTGGGGGAGAGATGCAGTTCTTTAGTGGTTCTTTAAAGTGATGGGGTTCTAGGTGTTCCTGTGGTTTGGTGGAAAACCAGCAGAAGTCCGGCTCATCCTGTTCAATGCTGTGCATTCCTCGTGTTTCGATGCAGCCGCTTCCTGGAGCGGCCATGCCGTCAGGGACAGAACAGTGGTACCGAGGACAGGAAGTGGGGCCTGTGTAAGAGGGGGGACAGTGTGAGGCACCAGCCAGAAGTCAGACTCCGCCCTCAGTGCTCGTCGCCCTGAGTGTGGCCGGAGGGTTGTGTCCCGGCAGGACCGTCCGTCAGTGGATTTTGAGGCTTGTGGGCAGGTGTGAAAGGGCAGCAATGACCTGGGTATTGAGAGACCTCGGAAAGCGTCACGGTTGCTCAGTGTCGCACAGAGCTTCCCGCCAGTGCCCCGTGGGTCCTCCAGTGGTCCCCTGGCCTCCAAGTGGCCCCTGGAGCCTTGCGGGTGACCTCCACATTTGCACGGGTGTGCCGTGACGTGACGAAGGCGGCCCGGAGAAGGAGGTGAATTCTGCGGGCAGGGCCCAGCAGCTGTCCTCCCGTCCAGAGTGGCTGAGGCAGAGACAGGCAGAAGAGCATCTGGAAGTGACAGAGGCACTGGTGTCAGCACCAGATGAGAAAGTGGGGTCTCCGGCTCCAGAGTAAAGAGGCAAGCAGCCGTCCAGCCTGGGTGATGTCGTGTGACTTCTAGGGGCAGTCTCCCCTGGGCCCTCCTGCACGCCCTGGAGAACCCTTCCTCCTCTGCTCCTGTGGCCTCGTGGTTTGTTATTTGGGAGAAGGGGAACATAGAGAACTTCTCTTTCTGTAGAACCGGGGACGTGATAATGTCCCCGCCCCAGCACAGCTGAGCTGCAGAGGCGGGACCTTGCCCACTGCCTCTCTCCAGAGCGTGACGTGCTGCTCCCCACACACCAGGAGCTTCCAGGCAGCCCCTTTGGCTGACCTTGCTCAGGGACCGAGCCACAAAAGCCATCATATTTTTTTTTATACTTTCTGTTGTTGTTGTTGTTGTTGTTGTTGTTGTTTTGAAGTGGGCTCCACACCCAACATGGGGCTTGAACTCATGACCCGGAGATTGAGAGTCACATGCTCCCCGGGCTGAGCCAGCCAGGCGCCCCAGTTTGTTTTTAATTTTTAAGTCATTTCTGTACCCAGTGTGGGGCTTGGATCCACAACCCCGAGATCAAGAGTTATACGCTTCACCGAATGAGCCAGCCGGGTGCCCCCCAGCTATCCTAGTCTTGACTAAACAGCTTGACTTAAAGTAGAGAGAGAAGAAAATTAAGAAAACATGCCCTAGAAACAGGGAGAATAGCTGTTAACCTCTTGGTATTGGCTTATTTTACATATTTTCATAATGCGATTTTCTATTTTTTCTGTCGAGTATCAATTATACTAGGTGTTGCTTTTTAATTTGCATTTTTGTTTTTCATTTACTGCCATTGACATTAAATTCTGATTTGATATTAAAGTTTACATATTTACAGTATATGGATGGTAGGTATAGCGGTTTTTTTTTACATTAGGGTTCACTAATTCACTTTGTTTTTCAAATTCTTTTTTTTTAATTATGTTAATCCCCATACATTACGTCATTAGTTTTTGATGTAGTGTTCCATGATTCGTTGTTTGCGTATAACACCCAGTGCTCCATGCAGAACGTGCCCTCTTCAGTACCCATCACCAGGCTAACCCATCCTCCCACCCCCCTCCCCTCTAGAACCCTCAGTTTGTTTTTCAGAGTCTATCGTCTCTCATGGTTCGTCTCCCCCTCCGATTTCCCCCCCTTCATTCTTCCCCTCCTGCTATCTTTTTCTTTCTTTTTTTTTTTTTTAACATACAACGTATTATTTGTTTCAGAGGTACAGATCTGTGATTCAACAGTCTTACACAATTCACAGCGCTCACCATAGCATATACCCTCCCCAGTGTCTATCACCCAGCCACCCCATCCCTCCCACCCCCCACCACTCCAGCAACCCTCAGTTGGTATAGCTTTAATCCGGACAGAATGAACAGTAACTGGCATGGTGAAGTACAGTCATGGCATTTCATAGCATATTGATACTACATTTCATCCAGAAAGAAAAATAAGCTATAATTTCATGGGACAAATTCCACTATTAAAAATAAAAATTTCGGGTGCCTGGGTGGCTCAGTTGGTTAAGCGACTGCCTTCGGCTCAGGTCATGATCCTGGAGTCCCGGGATCGAGTCCCGCATCGGGCTCCCTGCTCAGCGGGGGGTCTGCTTCTCCCTCTGACCCTCTTCCCTCTCATGCTCTCTCTCATTCTCTCTCTCAAATAAATAAATAAAATCTTTAAAAAAATAATAATAAAATGTTTAAAAAATTTTAAAAAATTTAAAAAAATTTTCAAAAGTAGAACACTGTTAAAATCTAAGCACTCTATTGTTAAATTATAAAAGAAATACCAAAGAGGGTTAAATAGTCTGTAATCTTGGGATCTTGGGTTGATGACATTTTGTTGGTAAATGAAAGAGGAGTGTTTGGGACATAAGCTTAGGATATCAGTAGGACTGGTTTTTTTTTTTTAGATTGTGGACTTGCAGATTACAAATCATTTGTAATGTTCATGAGTTCTCGTGCCCTCATTCTATGGAGGTCAATCACAGTAGGCCAGTTGTAGACAGCTGTGCAGGTTGCACACTGCACAAGTCTGAGAGGTGCCCCATTGCCTGGTAGTCTCTGTGAAGGGTACCCCTGAGGTTGTCCGGTGCACCAGCCCAGGTGGGGCCCTGCATCTGGCTTCCATGTCTTGTGAGATTCTGTTTGTGGAAGTAAATATGACAAGCAGACTGTCACATCTCATGTTCCCACCCCACCAGCTTCCACACACCAGTGGAGTAACTTTCCGAATCGGAGGAGCTCTGATTCTGTCTGGCTCTAAGCTGAACTGCCAGCACTGCTTCCCCCTCCTCGTTCCCCGGCTTCCTGCTCTCCTCAGAGAAGCCTGGGGGAGGGCGGCACAGAGCCGCCGGACAGCAGGGAGCTGCACAGGGGAGACCACCGCCCCCAGGTGCATGAGCAGGTGTTTTCCCTGGAGGGGACTGCAGTTGAGGGTACAGCCCTCCAGCTCCCCACACGGGGCGCTGCCTCATGCCCGTCTCACAGGGAGAGGCTCGGACAGGAGCTAGTGGACACCTGAGACGTTTTGAGTCAGAACGAAGTGCTGGTCTTTCTACGGTAAAATGTACAACAAAAAGCTTGGTTTTTAACTTTGTGGATATTGTTTGAGGTGTGGAAAGATGGAGAGTGCCCTGTACTGTGAGTTTTAGCCTACGTGGGAGGGAGGCCGTGCGGTCGGTTCACACTCTGGCTGGCGTTCTCGGCATTCTGCCGCTGATCCTCTTCCCTCGTGCCTGGAGGCCCTGCCTCTGAGAGGCTGCCGCTGCCTCCCAGCCTCCGCCTCCTGGGCCCTGGGATCCAGGCGGCTGCCCACCCTGGTCATGGCCTTGGCCATGTCACGCCTGTATGGGCAGCCCCTCCCCGCCTCCAGCCAGCCCCGGCCCCTTCAGCGGAGCCTTCCTCTTGGTGGGTGGCACTGACCCAGCGCCGTGTCTGCCTCTGCAGGGTCCTCCCCCCCGACATCTCAGAGTGCCGCGCTGCCTTCCTCGAGTGCCTGGCCGCTCAGTGCCTCTGGCTACGCTCGCTCCTTCAGCAGCATCGCGCCCGCGCCCAGCATTGCAGGTACGCACTGGCTTCTCCTGACGTCCACCCGCTCACCCCGCAGGTGGGGGGGTGGGGGGCCGGTGGTGTGACAGAGAGGGGGCCTGGGCACCTCGCCCCCCTGCCGAGTGCCGCGGGAATGGGAACATGGCCTCTGCGGGGCTGTCGCGAAGGGCGCGTGGCTGTAGGATGGGGCGCACCTGCTGCCCACACGGACCTGCTCCCCTCCCCTCCCCCGTGGCTACAGCATGAGGGGGCGTGAGGGGGACACGGGCCTTCAGACCGTGCAGGCGGCCCCTGCTGGGAAGTCGATGGGGGAGACAGGAGTAGGTCCCAGAAAGTGTGGCTGCTTCCCGCCTGGGCTATTTCTCTGTTACCCTAGACTGTTAGAAGTTTTTGAAGTGAGACATTTCGTTTAGGCTTAGAGAAGAATTGAGAATTGTGTGTCATAAAAACTTCAGGGGAATCTGAACGTGAAAATTTTAAGACTTTAAGGATATAAAGAGATGCAGGCCCAGACACTAACAAGACATGTGTCAGGTTTGTAAGTAGACAGAAATCTTAAAGAAGGAATGTTTATTGTTTAAAGACTTCTTCAAGTATATTTCTGTATTCCTTCAAACCTTGTCATCCAGACCTTCTGGTGTAAAGATGCCATAGGAATTCCTTTAATACCAGTACCTAGGGAAGAAAGTCGTTTTGATATATTTTAGCATCCTTTTTTTTCCCCCACTCTGTAGTCAATTTATTATTTTATTTTATTTTAACCCCAGTGTTGTTAACATGCAGTTTCAGGTATAAATATAGTGACTCAACATATAGTTTAGCATCTTATTGAAAACAGAGCATCTGGATTATTTCACTCTTTCTAATGTTTATTCTTCCTGATGTTTACAGAGGAGATGTATGTAGACCTTTACTACCTTCATGGTCATTTAGCTGAAGAGAAGGGGCAGAATCAAATCATTTTCCCTGTATCTCCGGCAGTTTTTATAGCATTTTTGCTTTTCCGATCAATGACACCTTTGCTAAGATTAGCGTTTGTTTGTTTGTTTGAAGTCTTGGTGGCTAGGGGTGGAGAGGAGCCCCGCACGGGATCTGGTCGCTGTGTGCTACCCAGGGACACCGCGACAGCCACCACTTTGCCTCCAGCACTTCCTGTCCTGGTCGTGCTGGACTGGTGAGGCAGGCCTGGCAGACGTCCAGGTGTGTGCACCTCCCAACCGAGCCCTGGGCATATGAGAAGCTGGGGTTCGGAGTTGTTAGCAGTTTGGTTTTCTTCTCCCAGAGAGCCTTCAAACACTCCCCACAACGGAGGAACTGAGATGCCGAACGCTCAGCCCCCGGCAGCTGGGCCACGCGCGTCCGTCTCTGTCATGCGGCCTGGCGGGCTCATCTCAAAGCTGCGGGTCGTCGGGGGGTGCTTCCTTGAAAAGGGACTGATAGCTAAAGAAATAGTGAAAGGATCTACACGTTAGGCTTTTGACCTCGGCTAATGTGTTCCATTATAAGCTTGTCCCAATAGAACATGTGGATAGTTAGTTTTAACCTCGAACTACGGAAATGCTGTTTTCTCGGTGGCAGACTTGGGTCTGGCACAGTCAGCGAATTCAGCATCAGAAGTCCCGGTGAGGCCTCCACTGGGCACTGGGCACAGGCAGGTGGTCTCTGGGCAGGAATTCGAGAGAGCACTTACCTTCGTGTGGGGGTGCTTTACTTGGTGTTTCTTTCTTATCCCACAGTCTGCTGGTGCCGGAAGCACTTTGTACGCTTCGCCAAACACTGCAGTGACTTTTCTTCTCTGTCTCAAGAATGCCTGTGCTCTGTCTCCCTGCCTTCTAGGTAAACTGTCAGACATTAAATCGACGTGGTCCTCTGGCCCTGCCTCCCACACGCAAGCCTCTCTGTCTCACGAACTGTGGAAGGTGCCCAGAAACACTACTGCACCCACAAGACCACCTCCAGGGTTAACCAATCCCAAGCCTTCCTCCACCTGGGGAGCCAGCCCCCTCGGCTGGACCAGCTCTTACTCCTCAGGTACGCATCCGCCCTCTTGGTGTGCAAGTGGGGCAGGTTGGGGATTGCGGGGGCTCGGGGCCTGCTCTGCTTGCCCTTTAGGGAATGAAAATGCCTGTCATCTTGTCCTCTAGCTCTTCTGTAAGAACTGCTCCCCCCACCCCTAGAACCCAGGAGAGCCTAGGAGGGGTTAAGGGGCCCTGGACTCTGGGCAGTGTGTGGGCCCAGCGCTCCAGCTGCCATGGTTTCCGGCCTCTGCCCTGAGGCAGGCGGTCCCGGCCCTCACGGCACCCTTCGAGGGGCCACGCTGGGCCCTTCAAGAAGGCGCTTTCAGCCATTGATATTTGCTTCTCCACAACATTTCACTGGAGCAAAGGGCTTTCTGGGCCAGAACCCAAACCAAGCCCCCCGTGTGAATTGGGGCCCGCATCCTGGCACCGCACCTCTGCTGGCCGCCGCCGGGGCCCCCGCCGAGCTGCAGCCGTGGAAGACATGCGCCGGGAGTTTAAGAAGCTGAGACTGGAACCAGCGACTGATCGTTTGAAAACTGCTCTGGGCCCGTCATGGCAGCCCCGTGGGTCTGCTGTGTTAGCACGTAGCATCTTAGAGCATCGATTCTCAGGGCCGTGGGGGCAGAGGAGAAGGGAGCTTCTGCCGTCCTCCGCCCAGGGGCATCTGCAGGAATTGTGGGGCTGGGTTCATCAAACCAAAAAGAGAACGTGGGTTTTCAAAGGTTGAGAAAGCTTAGAGCATGCAGTGGCGCTCCATGCTGCCACGTGCATGGGCAGGAAGCCTCCGGGGGTCGTGCTGACGGGGCTCTCCCCCGGCTCGCGCAGGTTCCGCGTGGAGCACCGACACCTCAGGACGGACAAGCAGCTGGCTCGTTCTCCGCAACCTCACGCCCCAGGTACGGGCACCCGCCGTGGGGGTCACCGAGTGGGCGGGGGGGCACTGTCCTTGACCGAGAGCAGTTCCTGCCACCCCCAATGCATGCCGGCCTCTGCTGGGGGCCCTCGCTCAGGGGCCCAAAGACGGCGGGGGCAGCCACAGGCAGACACGTCCATGTTCCTGGGGAATTGTTCATTTTTTACTCTTTTTGAGGCTTTTAAACAGAGTTGCTTGCCTTTAAATTATACCCACTCAAGAGTCATTGTCCTGTGCTCCCCTTTCCCGGGGTCAGGGCTATAGGGCTGCCAGGAACCATGGGCCCCTGCTGGGTGGGCGGGAGGCCACAACCAAAATGGGGTATTTTCTTTCTCCTGATTGACGGAATTCACGAAATATGACTGAAACAGCCAGGATTAAAAAGTACATGGTCAGCGCACCTGGGTGGCTCAGTCATTAAGCGTCTGCCTTCGGCTCGGGTCATGATCCCAGGGTCCTGGGATCGAGCCCCGCATCGGGCTCCCTGCTCAGCCAGGAGCCTGCTTCTTCCTCTCCCACTCCCCCTGCTTGTTGTGTTCCTTCTCTCGCTGTGTCTCTCTCTGTCAAATAAATAAAATCTTTAAAAAAAAAAAAAAAGTACATGGTAAATGACAAGGCATAAAAGATTAAAATCACAAAGTCATACATGCTAAGCCCTTTTTAAAGACAGACCTTTTCCCAGTGGTTAGTACGCCCGGGTCATAGACATTTTCTTTGAAGAATGTCGTGGAAGAAGTCCCAGGAAGCTCGTTACCGCCCCCTTTCCTTCCTCCATCAGATCGACGGCTCTACCCTGCGGACGCTGTGTTTGCAGCATGGGCCTCTCGTCACATTCCACCTGAACCTGACTCAAGGCAACGCCGTGGTCCGCTACAGCTCCAAGGAGGAAGCCGCCAAGGCCCAGAAGTCCCTGCACATGTACGTCTCCTGGCTGCCGATTGGCTGCCCCCCGGGCTGTAGCCCTGGCAGCGCTGGGCTCAGGGTGCTGTGGGAGCTCCAAGGTGTCGGTGGGGTCGGTTCCTTCCAGGGCTCCTGTCCTTAGCCTGCAGGCGCTGCCCTCTCCCTGTGTCCTCACATGGTCGCCTCTCAGTCTGAGTGTGCGTGTGTCCTAACTTCCCCTTCTCAGAAGGACACAGGTCAAAGTGGATTAGGGTTCATTAATGACCTCATTTTACTTTCATGACCTCTTTAAAGACCTGTCTCCAAAAACGGGCACAGCCGGGGTGCTGGGGGTGCTGGAGCTTCCATGTGGGGATTTGGAGGGGCACGATTCAAGCCGTAGCAGGTGTCTCGTGACACGTCTGTTTCTTCTGCTCTGGAGTTGCCGTGGCCATGCCCCCCACTAGGGACAGACCCCCTAAGAGCATGCACGTAAAGCACAGCCGGAAGGAAGGTGCTCTCTCCACCAGGTAGCACCAGGCACGTGACCCGTCTTCCAGCCACCTCCCCCCACTGGTTACAGGTCGCTCTTGCTAAGATGTGTCCGTGGATATACTCAGCAACGGCCCTGGACCAGTGGGATTGCTGAATCCCACGGTGGTTCTATTTTTAATTCTCTCAGGACCCTCCAGAGTGGCTGAACTAACTCCCATTCCCATCAGCAGTGAACAAGGGTTCTCTTCTCTACATCCTCCCAACACTTGTTATATTTTGTCCTTTTGATTCTAGCCATTCTAACGGGTGAGGTGAGATCTCATTGGGTTTGATTTGTATTTCCCTGATGATGAGTGATGTTGAGCATCTTTCATATACCTGTTGGCTATCTGTATGTCTTCTTTGGAAAAATGTCTGTTTAGTTCCTCTCCTCATCTTTTAATCAGGTTGTTTAGGCCTTTTTTGTTGTTGTTATTGAGTTACGTGATTCTCTATATATTCTGAATATTAACCCCTTATGAAATAAATGCTTTGTGAATATTTTTCTCCATTCCATAGTTTGGTTGTCTTTCATTGTATTGACAGTTTCCTTTGCTGTGCAGAAGATTTTTAGTTTGATGTAGTTCTACTTATTGATTTTTTTTCTTTTATTGCTTGTGCTTTTTATTTTAAGTTTTCTTTATGTAAGTAATCTCTACACACAACGCAGGATTCCAACTCACAACCCCGAGATCGAGAGTTGCACGCTCTTCTAACTGAGCCAGACAGGCGGCCATGTGCTTTTGGTGTCCCATCAAAAAATCATTGCCAAGACCAATGTCAAGGAACTTTTTCCCTGTTTTCTTTCAGGAGTTTTATGGTTCCAGATCTTATGTTTAAGTCTTTAATCCATTTCAAGTTAACTTTTGTGAGTGGTGGGAGACAGGCATCCACATGTTACTGTTCTGCACCTGTTCCTCCAGCTTTTCCAGCACGTTTGTTAAAGAGACTGTCCTTTCCGCATTGAGTGCTCTTGGTGCCCTTGTCAAATATAAATCAGTTGTCTAGATGGGGATCTATTTCTGGGCTCTCTATTCTGTTCCACTGCTCTGTGTGTCTGGGTTTTTTTTGCCAGAACTATACTGTTTTGAATACTACGGCTTTGTAGTATAGTTTGGAATCAGCAAGTGTGATGCCTCCAGCTTTGTTCTTTATCAGAATTGCTAGGGCTCTTTGGAGTCTTTTGTGGTTCCATGTAAATTTCTGTGAAGAATGCCATTGGAATTTTTATAGAGATTACATGGAACCTACAGATGGCTTGGAGTTGTCTGGATGGCCTTGCATTTGTATCTTCTTTGGTTTCTTTCATTAAAGTCGTTTAGTTTTCATTGCACAAAGTTTTCACTTGCTTGGTCAGATTTATCCCTAAGTATTTTCTTGTTTTTTAATGCTGTCGTGAATGAGATGTTTTTCTTTTTTTCTTCTTCACATATTTCATTGTTAATACATAGAAATGCAGCTGTTTTTCATTATGTTCGTTGTATATCCTGCAACTTTACTGAACTCATTGATCACTTCCAGCAGTGTTTTTGGTTAAGTGTTTAGGATTTTCTCCATATAAGATCACGCCATTTGCAAATAGTGATCATTTTACTTCTTCTTTCCCATTTGGATGCCTTTTATTTCTTTGTCTTGCCTGATCGCTCTGGCTAAGACTTCCGGTGCTGTGTGGAATAAAGATGGCAAGAGCAGGCATCCTTGTCTTGTTCCTGACCTTAGAGAAAACGCTTTCAACCTCTCACTGTCGAGTATGATGTTAGCTGTGTGTGTGTCATGTACAGACGGCCTCTCTGACATGGAGACATGTTCCTTCTGTCCCGTTTGTGGAGGGTCTTTATCATGAAAGGTCGTTGTGTTTTGTCAAATGCTCTTTCTGCATCTACTGAGACAAGAGGACTTGAATCTTTCACTCCCATCAATGTGATGTGTCACACTTTGTGATTTGCTTATGTTGTTCAACATCCTTGCATCTCAGGAATAAATCCCACTTCATCGTGAATGTATAATCCTTTTCATGTGCTGTTGAATTCAGTTTGCTTAATATTTTGTCGACAATGTTTACATCTGTGTTCATCAGGGATATTGGTCTATAGTTGTGTCCTGATCTGGCTTTGGTATCAAGATAACACGGGCCTCATAAAATGAGTTCAGGAGTGTTTCCTCCTCTTCAGTGTTTTGAAGAGTTTGAGAAGGTTTGGTGTTAATTCTCTTTTAAATGTATGGTAGAATTCACCAGTGAAACCATGTGGTCCTGGGCTTTTCTGTGCTGGGAGGTTTTTGGTCACTGATTCCGTCTCCTTACTCGTTATTGGTCTGTTTGGATTTTCTGTTTCTTCATGATCCAGTCTTGGTAGGTCATCTGTGTCTAGGGATTTGTCCAGTTCTCCTAGGTTGTCCAGTTTGCAGGTACAGAGTCATTCTAGAAGTCTCTCAGGACGCTCTGTATTTCTGTGGTATAGGGTGTCATGTCTCCTCTGTCAGTTCTGATCTTGTTTATTTGAGTCTTCTGTTTTTTTCTTAGTCTAGCTGAAGCTCTGTCAAATTTTTTATCTTTCAAAAAAACCAGCTCTTAATTTTGTTGCCGTCCTGCTCTTTTAGGTGTGTTCTGGGAAACACTACCATCTTGGCCGAGTTTGCCGGCGAAGAAGAGGTGAACCGTTTCTTAGCCCAAGGCCAAGCACTGCCGCCCACCTCTGGCTGGCAGTCCGGCACCGGGACGGGCCAGACACGTTTGGGCGCCTCGGGCAGCTCCCACGGCCTGGTGCGGAGCGACACTGGCCACTGGAGCGCCCCGTGTCTGGCCGGCAAAGGGAGCAGTGACCTGCTGTGGGGCGGGGTCCCCCAGTACTCGAGCAGCCTGTGGGGCCCACCTAGCAGTGATGATGGCAGGGTGATCGGAAGCCCCACCCCACTGAACACTCTGCTTCCCGGCGACCTTCTCAGTGGGGAATCCATCTAGGACCGAGAGGACCCCGTGGGCGCCACAGTCATCAGCACTAGGAAGAAAAGGCTGACCCTTTCCAGTCCGGGCAGCGCTGAGGACCCCGCTTGACCTGAGCAGCCCGGCAGCCCTTTGAGTACCTCTGTCCAGTACTGAAGACGAACCCTGGCCGCAGTCCTTGTGAACTGTTCACGAGACAGTGCGGGCTGCGCTTGGTCAGTGTCACATGCTAATGACAGGATGTTCCTCATAGCTTTTTATTTTGTGTTGTCTTATGTTTGTATGGTGTGTTGTCGTTTTGATTTTTTAAGTATAAAAGCTGCTTAGAATAGTTCTATCATGAAGGGCACTTTTCAGATTGTGGGCTGGAAAGGGTTATTTTATCAAGGGGGGCGGGAGGGAGGGAGACGAGAAAGCCTATTTAAAACGAGCCTGTGATGATTATGCACATTACCAGAGGCGGACCCCGTAATCAGGGGGAGCTGGTGTCCATCACTGGGCGCAGAGTGCGGGCTCCACGCGGCGGGCCTGGCGGCCAGGACCGGCGAGCTGCGCAGAGGCAGCGACCTGCGGCCTGCTCTCTGCTCCCACGGGTCCGCCTATGCACATTACCCTTGTTTCATTACTTTTTCATGCCATTTTTTTATCCCAAAAAATATTTTTTAAAAGTTAAAAAAAAAAAAAAAGACATATCAAACATGCAAATACTTGAATCCAGCAGGCCAATAAGGAAATGTGAACACTTGCCGCGTCGAATTCTACACTTCCAGGCTGACATCAGTGCGCAGAAACAGGCTCTAGGAAACATTTCTGAGTTCACAGCCTATGTGTGTGTGTGTGTGTGTGTGTGTGTGTGTGTGTGTGGAAACAGAAGCGTGTGTGCGCGCACTTTCTGTGTTTGTGTGTTCCGTGTGTGAGGGATTTAACTGTGGGTTTTCCCTTTTATTCAGTATATGCTTTTTTTTTTGGCGCATTGGTCAAATGTTTGTTACTATTATTAGCTTCTAACTTTGCACTGAGTGTCCCTGCCCTTCCTTTTGCTAATCCTATACATGAAAGAGAATTCATGGGACAGGGCCGGTGACAATTCATGTGTAAATGTTTACTCAAGGACTCTGTTATTGCGTTTAAAAATTACAGTGTATATCTCTGGAGAAATAATATGTATACCTACCTTTAGCAGCTTTTTATTGTGGACTAATGCAAGAAAATATTACCAGAGTATTGCACCGTGTTTCCATGTGGAATAGAAAGTGAGAGAGAAGACAACTGTTGCAGAACTGTGGCCATAGATCCTCGCGGAGAGCGGACGGCTCCGCGGGAGGAACAGAGACAAGCACTTGGACGTGGGTGGTGACCGCTTTCGGAGGGGCCCGTGCTCAGGGCTCCCACCTGTTTACAGACCTTTTTTTCTCCTTCAGACTTTAAAATAAAAAAAAATTTTAAAAAGGAATTAAAAAAAAAAGAAAAAAAAAGAGACTTCCGTGGTAAAGAAACCTATTTTCAGAATGCAGATACGCTACTTCAGAGCTCTGGGATTGAACAGTGTCGTCGCTTCCCTCCAGCCATCGTTGTGGACTGTCGATTGTCCCCCTTCGTCGAGGTGACGAGACGTTGTGGTCACTGTCTTGCACATGCGGATGCGCTCTCAGGAAAGCCAGGGTTCCCGAGGGGCAGCTCCACACCATTTCATGTATTTTGTAACCCAACTCCTAGCACTGAAGATGTTATTAAAAAACAAACAAAAAAAATAAAGAAAAAAAAGAAAAAAGGAAAAAAAACACAAAGAAGAAAAATACCTAATCTCTAATGTGTAGCAGTTACATATTTACCAAATAACGGACTCAAAAGAAATAGATGTTTGAAGAGTGCTTTATATATTAAAAATTGCTTTATGTTTTAAAAATGATCAATGTTTTGATTGTTTTGCAAGAAAGACAGACAATGGAGTAACATACCCTCAAGTATGTTTAAAAATATATGAACATTGTGCTCCCTGCCTGCTTGATCAGGAAACTTGTGCATTACATTTTTTTTAATTAGCTTTTTAATGGTTTTATCAAAACAAAACAAAAAAAGAACAAAAAACAAACAAACAAAAAAAACACAAAAAAAGAAGGTCCTGCAAAATTGCAGTTCAACAAAAGCTGGTTTTATAGAGGATCATGAACTATGCACAAACTGGGTTCAAGACTTGTTTTCTCAAGTTGAGTCGTGTATTTAGCTAAACAAACCTTCCTCAGAGTAATAGCATCTCATTGCCATTACATGCGTTCTATATATTTGATGTATATATGCTCACGTATGTATATCAAATATATGTGCGTGCGTGCGCGCGCACCAGACAGCTTCCCATGCTGCCGCTTAGCATCGAGTTGTAGAAAAACTGGTATTTTAAAATTGGGGATGGAAGTAAAGACTCTGTTTGTTTTTGTTTTTTGTTGATTTTTTTTTGACCTTTTCTTTTGAATTAAAGATGTCTGTAACTCTGAGATTAAAAAACAAGTTTGTGGCTTTTAATGTTTTTTCCTCATAGAATGTGATCGTTGAAGAACATGCACCGAAAGTTGCTTTCAGAAGTACAACGCTTTGTTGAATCTTAATAAATTGCAATTTTTTTCTTGGCTGTTCAAATAAATGTGTTTTTTATTTTTCACAGACATATCATCGATTTTCACTTTGTATGTACGGGGGGAGAGAGCTGTCCTACTGTTCGTAACGAATTCCCTGCCTCTTCAAGATATCCTTAGAGTTTAGACGAACTCTGAATGTCTGTTGTTTGGCTTATTATTTTATCTTGTGGTTTGTGGCTTTGCAGTTCCCTCTGAAACCTTACTACCGGTCACGGAGAGGCGCAGCAGAGCCAGGGCCCGCGGGCCGAGTGCCCCCGCTGAGGACCGTGGCTCCGTCACCCGTGACCTGGTTTGGGCCTCAGAAATGTTGGGTCCAAGGAGAGTAATGAAGGCCTTTTGTGTTTCCTGGACGTCTTATTCATTTATTCTTGTAAAGTAGCCTAAAATAACGGGTGAAAGGTGACTTTCACGAAGCGTTTCGCACACGCAGAGCAGAACTCAGGGCGCCGCAGGCAGTGGCTTAGCGTGGCCTCTCTGGTGGCAGCTAGAGAGCAGAGCCGACACCAGGGGGGTCTCAGGCCCACTGCAGACACCATGACCTTAAATCAGTCCAGCGAGCACCAGTGCTTCTGACGGCCAGGATTGTCATGATGGTGTCTGGGAGACAGGCCAACGTGTCCTCCGTGACCCCCTGCTCAGAGACCAGCAGAAGGAGTGGCTTTCTGTCTCTACTCCCCTTCCATGTGCCTAGGGCGAGGTGGCAAACTCCTGGCTCTGCCCAACCTCTTTGGAAAGTCACGAAGGACAGCACCGAAGGGGGTCACGGTCGGGAGAAGTGAAAAGCGAGGAATGGGAGTCAAAGTGGGCAAAGCGCACCCAGCCTTCTGCCGAGCAGGTGCGTGTACTGCGAGAGAGCGCCTGCTCCCCGGGAGGACTTCCTGCAGGAGGTGGTGCAGCCCTGGGCCTGGGAGGCCGACCAGATTCTGCCAGCCTGGGGAAAGCAGGGGACGGGTGGGTGACACAAGGTAAACCGAGATCTGGAGTGACTGCTCATGAGACCGGGCTGGGGAGCAGGGATCCTGGTACCCACGGTAGCAAAGGAGGCTCGGTGTCTAGAATCAAGAAAACAATAGGTACGGAGCTGCACTTTTTACAAAACTGTTCTGACGGCACCGTGGGAGAGTGGCAAAGACAGAGGGTGCTCAGTGAGTCGTAGCAGGAGATGCAGAGAACGGGCTGTCCGAACAGCGAGGAGGCCAGAAGAGGCGTCGGGGCGAACACCAGTTCTGGTGACAAAGACAAGAGCTGAGTGGCTGAGCACATGCTCACTGACAGGAGTGAAAATGGAAACCGGCATTTCAAGAAGATTCTTCCCAGGGGTGGAGCAGGGAAGACCTACATAGGAATCCCGAAGGAGTCGTCATTAATTTGCTAGCTCGGCGCATCGCGCTGCAGTGGAACATAGTTGACAAGCTCTACTTGTGAGACTGTGGCCGGACCAGTAGCCCGAGGAGCAGGCCGGGCCCCACAGTCTGGCGCCCCGGCTGGGAAAGACAGAAGTGCATTTCCAGATGCCCCCTAAGTGGGCAGTACTGCCTTGGGCTTAAGAGACCTGGATCAGATGCTACATAAAGCACAGAGCAGTGGTCCTCAGCCCGGCTGCGTATTAGACTTACCTGGAAACTTTTTAAAATCCCAGTGCCAGGACACCTCCCAAACCAACGCAAGCAGAATCCCTGGGGCTGGGCCCCTAGTTGGTTCCATTGAGGAGCCAGGGCCGAGAAACAGTGGCATGGAGGAATCTTGTCATTGTCCTGAAATAGCTCTGTCGACCTCCTGTGCCCTGGAATAGCAATTTCTAAGAGTTCGGTTAGCCTCGTTTGGCACTTAAAGCTCACTTTTTCTTTTTTTTAAAGATTTATTTCAGAGAGTGTGTGCAATGGGGAGGGGAAGAGAGAGAGAGAAGCAGACGCCTGCCGAGCGTGAAGCCCAGTGTGGGGCTGGATCCCATGACCCTGAGATCATGACCTGAGCCGAAATCAAGAGTCGGACGCTCAACGGACTGAGCCACCCAGGCGCCTCTTTTTTTTTTTTTTTTTTTTTAAAGCAAAACTTCTGGGCCAAGCATGGTGCGAACCAAGCACAGTAGAGGGGCTGCGTCATGTGCTCCAGCAGCCCCCTGAGGTGAGGAGCTGGGCTGGGCAAGGTCACAGAACACGCCCAAGGCCATCGGCTAACAAGGCTCAGAATCCAGGCCTGCTCCCCCGTGGGCTCCATCGCAGAAGGAACACGACGATGCGCTAACCAGAGGGTCTGGGCCACCCGTGCATCAGAAACAGGACGGGAGGCAGACGACGCGAGGAGAGCTGGCTCGCGCGGGGGCGGGGCGGGCGAGGCTGCAGCCCCGGGCAGAATTGCTTCCGAAAACCTAGGTCCTGAGCTGTCGGGGGCACCAAGGGCGCCGTCCCCCACCTACAGAAGTCTAGGTGATGCCTGCCCGGTGACCCTCCAAGGCCATATCAGCAGATGGCACCTGCCCCTGCACGTCTGCCAAACAGGAATACCCCCGTGAGACCGTCTGGGAAAGCGTGGACCCATCCGGGGCTATCTCTGCTTAGGGTATCTCCACTGCGGGTTTGACCTGGCCCTCCGCACTGCCTCGCCCAGGCCCGAACTTTGCTCTTCTGGATCCCCCTGTGGGATGAGGAGCAGTGGGGCCCATCACTGCACTCTCATCCTGCTTCCGCACCTGGGGCCACTCCCCCAGCTCCTGCAGACATGGGGGCGGGGCTGTGACAGCCGAGCCCCTCCTTCCCGTCCTCTCAGGTTCACGGCATCCCACAGGACCCTCAAACCGCCTGGCAGGATCTGGGGGCTCCCCATCACCCGCCACAGGCAGCCAGACCCCCTCCTGCCCCAGGCCTGGGTGCTGGCCGCCCCTCTCCCCATGGCTCATTGGAAACTGAGAGCTCTTCCCCACCAGCCTCTCCCCAAATTTGCCTTCCACTGGCCTGGTACCCACTGGGCATCACCACTGATGGCTTCATCGCCCTGGACACTGCCTGCCTGGCCCGCCTGCGCAGGCGCGAGCCCCCTGGGCACAGGCTGGTCAGGGGCGACCGGCAAGCTGTGCCGTGGCCCACCCTGCCATCTGGGGCTCAGCCAGCAGAGGGTACCCTGCGCTTTAGCGCCAGACGTCCCCCCCACCTGCCCCCAACCCCACGTCAGAGGGCGCTGGAGGGCGCTGGAGGGCGGAGTGCGGAGGAGAAGCATTCAGCCAGAAAGAGGAACTCGGCGGGGGGGGGGGGGTCCCCGCGCCCTCCGCCTACAGGTTGTCCGCAGGGTGAGGGTACACGGCCCAGCGGTGCGTGCGTGCACTCGGCAGGCCCGGCTATAAGCACAGAGTCCCAGGAGAAGCTCATTTTGCAAAACATGTTTTATCAGAATAAATAGAGTCCCAAGCAGGATACAGTCCACTGGGCGTGCCCCCCCACTCGCCCACCCTCCAGTTCCAGCCCTCATGGGCTGCAGAGTCCGGGCGGGCGTCAGTGCCCACGGGGCCGCGGAAACAGAGAACGACCCCAGCACAGGGCGCACCTGTGAGCAGACGCAGAGCTGCAAGGCCTGTCGCTGTCCTACCAGGCGTCCGGATCATCCGTGAGCCTCTCAGCCTCCTGGGTTCTACCAGCCCTGCCAGAAGGGGGAGTCAGCGAGGGGCCCCTGGGACCTCCGGGGACGTGGGGGGCTGAGGGGTAGTCCCTCCAGCCGGGCCAAAGCCAGACGCCCAGTAGCCCTGCTCAGGAGCTGCCTTCAGGCCTCCGGAGGGTGGAGAAACCTCTGGACGGCCTCAAAGGGGCTGGGCAGACCTCCGATGTGTCTGTAGGTGGGGCGGGGGGTGTCGGACGGCTCAATCTGTGGGTCCCTGCTGCCCAGGGATGAGCCCCGGGGCCTCGGACTGCACACCAGGCCCGGTGCGTGTACCCCCTGGGGACCGCGGGGGCCAGCTCCCGGGCACCCCGACTTAGAAAGAAAAGTGCCACAGCGCCCAGCTCGACCTGCCCCTGCGCGCACTTCTTTCTTCTCTAGTTTCCTTTTCTCGCCAGACTTCACCACGCCTGAGCAAGAGAGCTGGGAAGGAGGGCAGCCGGGGAGGCCGGCACCCCTTCCCTCCTCACCCCCCAGCTCCGCACGATGCCCGGCCCTGGCCCCTCCCCTCCACGCTCACACACCGAGTGCCCAACCCCTCCAAGGCCCCTCACCTGCTCCTCTCTCTCCTCTCATAGACGGAGTGAAGCTTGTTGATCAAAAAGACTTTGTCTTCCCCCTCCTAAAAAGGCCAGAACACAAAGGGTGAGGGGACAGTTGTCCATCCGTCTGTTTGTCCAGAACAGACTATTCCATGAGACAAGCACAAAAAGTTTAAAGGGAGAAGAGGCACCAAACGAGGACGGAAAAACCAAGAGCCAGGCAACGGGCATATATGTAGATCGATCAATCTAAGCTTCCTAGTGGCCAAGACGAAAAAGAAAATGTGATCAGGGGCACAGTGAAGGCCACAGAGCCAGCCTGACTTAATTTAAAACTGGCCCCGCCGCCCACGGACTCCGTGTTGGGCGAATTACATCCTCTCCGACCTCAGAGTCAGCATCTGTAAGCGGGAGATAAGGGTGTCTGCCGCACGGAGCTTGTGTGAGCTTCCACTGTCGTTCTAATTACCACCAACTTGGCAGCTTAAGACAACACAAATTCATCTTTCAGTTCTGGAGGTCAGAAGTCCAAAACGGCTCTCACTGGGCCTAGGATCAAGGTGTCAGCCAAACTGGTTCCTTCTGGAGACTCTTGGGGAGCATCCTTCCTTCCTTTCTCCAGCTTCTGGAATCTGCCCACAGCCCTTGGCTCGAGGCTGCTTCCATCTGTGCCGGTGGGTGCAGAGGGCCGTGCCCTTGAGTAAGCCCCCCTGCCCAGGCCCGGGAAAAGCAGTTCCAGGGGCCTAGCCAAGCTCAGACCTGCAGCCCCAAAGCCTTGCAACCGGGGCAGGGCTCAGCCTTGGCGGGGGGCGGACACAGTCTGCAGCAAGGGCCTGCCCGGAGGGCCTTTCCGCTCCCAGAGAACTAGCAGGTGGAGCTGGGATCCTCCTCCCGACGCTGCTGTGCATCTACCAGCCCCACCTCCACCCCCGGGACCCCGAAGGTATCCGCAGGGCTTGGTGCACTACACAGTAGGGCAGGCGGGAGCCAGCTGGCAAAGACCTGCTTCCGCCAGCTGTGGCCAGGTGACCGCCTCAGCCAGAATGCCTGGCCTTACGCCGTGCTCCCTGTGGGCGCGCCAAGACGCCCGTGTGTATAAGGGAAGGGGACGGGGGCCTCCCATTGTGTTACTTGAACCCCCTAAGAAGTGGGCGCTGTCCCTAAGGGACCTTCCCGCTTGGGGCCCAGGCCCTGCATCAGTAAGCCAGCAGGAGGGGCCCATGCCTACTGCACCCCAGCCCTGGCCTGCCATGGCTGACACCCCGCGCCTGACCCCCGAGTCCTCCTAAGGCAGCGTCCCAGGTGGCCCCCAGCACACACCCGGAGGAGGCGCAACCCCCGGCCCCGTGTGAACGCCAGGCCACCGGCACAGTGGCCTCAGAGTGGCCCAAGCGTCCAGGGGACAGTGAGAATCTGCAGAAGGGGAACGGCCGCGGGGAGAGTGACGGCGAGGTCCGAGCCCACCCAGCGTCTATGCGGGGACCCGCCGTCGCTGGCAGGTCCGGCTGAGCAGACCCCGGCAGGACGCGCCCCCCGGCTGGGAAAATGCCAGCCCGAGTGATCCAGAGTCCGTGGTCGCTGGCTTTTAACCGGACGCGAGGCCTAGCAGCCGAGCAGGGAGGGACGGTCCACGGGGCCGGGCTGGGCCGCCTCTGGGGTGGGCTTGAGCAGCTCGGGGCCGGCGGATCCCCAGGGGCCGACGGTGCAGTGGGGGTCCCAGGAAGGAGCCGCCCCCGGGCGTCTCAGCCCACCCTGCCTCTCACACTTACGACAAACCAAACGTGCTTAATACAAAGGACGAAAACCCGGGCTCGCGTTTAACTTACTCCACTTGTTTGGAAAATGAGGGCAATGAACAGGGTCCATGTCCTGACGCGGGTCCCCCAAGAAGTCCAAGGGCTATTTCCAGTACCTCCAAGACCCTCACAGAGACCGTAGCCCCGCGGGGCCGCCCGCCCGAAAATGCCGCCTTTCTCTGCCGGAGCCGCGATCCACCCCCCCCCAGGGCGGGAGCCCTGTCCCCGAGGGCGCTCCAGGGCGGCCGCTGCCTCACTCCCCGCTCCGCTTCGTACAGCCCCCCGCAGGGCCGGGTGTCATTTGTGGGGCAAACAGAGCCTCTCGCGGCCGGGCCGGGGGCGGCAGGGCACTCACGTTGCTGATCTGCTCCTTGAGGAGGCAGATGACCCTCCGCTGGCCCTTCACCACCTGGATGTGGAGGTAGATCACCGCCCTGCAGCATGGGGAGCCACGCGGTCGGGAGGGGCTCCGCGCTGGAGCCCAGGGCACCGACAGGCTGGGGCCTCCACCCGGGCCGGTCCTCCTGCGGGGCCCGCCTGCCCGCACTCACAGCAGCAGGGCCGACACCAGGTAGACGGGGAAGGTGTTCTCCACCAGGTACCGGTGGACCCAGGGTAGCCAGGAGACCCTGGGGCCCGCCTCCTCCAGATGGCGCACCCACACCTTGCCCGCCTCGTACATGCTGTTCAGGCTCCGGAACGGGCCGCAGGTGCTCGAGGGCTTCACCCTGGGGGAAGAGGGCGAAGGCGACCCCCACGTCACCCCACACTGCAGCCCCCAACCCAGGGGGCACGCCGCCCCACAGGCCGGGCGCCACTCACCGCCACACAGCGAAGCAGAGGAAGACAGCGGCTCCCAGGAAGGAGGGGAAGCAGAGCAAGGAGATGAAGACGGTGCTCATGTGTGAAGCCAGCCAGGGCCGGCGGGGCGCCTGGCAGTTGGCCCTCAGGCTGGTCTGGGGACAAAGGCTGAGATCCGCCACGGCCACAGCTTCGGGGGGGGGGGGCCCTGGGCGACACCCCAGGCCGGGATGGGCTCCCCGCCCCCAGGGAGCGGACACTCAGAATGTGAGCCTGTGGGTTGCCACGCCGGTTTACGAGGGGCAACCGAGGCACAGGAGGGGCGGCCTGTCCACTGTCCCTCGGATACGGAGACCTGATGGGCACTGCCACCTCCGATGGCCGTGCCCGGTGCTCCAGGAATGTCCTCTCCAACGGGCCCCCGCGGACACCGTCCCGCCACTCAGACGAGGAAACGGGGCCAGAGGGAGAGGCTGGTTCTCCAGCGCCGAGCGCAACCCAACCCAAGGACAGAGGAGCGGGGGGCCCTTCCCTCGGCCCAGGAGGGGCCTGTGGCTCCGAGCAGCTCCCAGCCGCCGGCCCGGCACCTCCGGGCACCCAGCAATGACCACGGACCCCGACGCGATGCTGCCCAGCCAGGAAAGGCAGTGACGCTGGGGGGACGGCAGTCAGGGGAGGACGGGAGGGTCCCGGGGCCCAGCCTGGCTCAGGCTCCCGCGGCCCTGCCGCCCTCCCGGGCGCCAGCGGGCACCCTTACCTTCTTGACATAGAAGATGAGCAGCAGCTTGACGATCTGGATGGCAGGGAGGAGAGGAGAGAAGAGGACCCCCAGCCTGGCGAGGCAGAGGCTGGGGTCACGACCCCTGTGCTGCACCCCACAGTGACAGCAGCCGGGCTCGGGGTCACGAGATGCCCCACCCCAAGGCCAGGCTGGGGGAGGGCACAGCAAGAGGGGCCGCACGCTGCGCGTCCTGAGAGGCGAGGGGTCAGGGCCCACGTCACTGCGGAACCCCCAAGCCGGGGCCTTGCTGCAGGCCTAAGGGGGAAAGGGGCTCAGCCTTCCGGGGGCGGGGGGGCCGGCAACGGCAGGCGGGCAGAAGACGCTTACCAGGTCAGGGTCTGCCCATAAATCAGCTGCAGAACGTTCCCGGCAATGTCGAACTCCGGTTTCTCCCTCCTCTTAAGCTGCTTCTCAGAGATGAGCCTGGGGCAGAGGAGCCCCCGAGGGTCACTTGGGGGGGCCAATCCCGGAGACCGATCCCCAGCAGGCCGGCCAGTGACCCTCCCCTCAGGCGCCGGCGGATGTCAGGGGACAAGGCAGGTGAGGTCCTCCACCTGAGGGGCTCGGGGCTACAGCTGACTTCCTCTCCGTCTTTTCTCTCTCTTGTTTTTTAAGTAATCTCTCCGGCCGACGTGGGGCTCGAACTCAGGACCCTGAGATCCAGAGTTACACACACCCCCACGGAGCCAGGCGCCCCGTCTCGGTCTCTTTTCTACGCCCGGGTGTAAACATGCACAACAGGCGCAGACGTTTTACGGACTGTTGAACGTCCCGTTTTTAAATCACTATTAATCTCCTGGTTCCCGGAAAAAAAACCACAAACGAGAAAATAAAAGCAGTAGTAGCAACACCGGAGCCCAGCAGCCTCCCGCAAATGTCCCTCCGTCCCTCCCTCCTTCCGTTTTCCCTGGACAACACTGAGATTAGACATCATTTGGGAAACTCTCTTCCATCTAAACACGCGTTACATCCCGACTTGGGTTTTGCTCGCCCGGCCGATCTTCCACAGACAAGGCGGGCGGGGGCGGGGCGACGGCCGTGCCTCTCGCGGGTGAGGATGCTGGGAGCCCTCCTGAGGGCAGGGGCGAGGCGGGCGGGCGGGGAGGGCAGCCCAGGTGCCCAGGGGGCGCGCGCAGGGCCCGGGGCCTCACCTCCACACCAGCTCCCCGAACAGCGTGTCCAGCAGCACGAAGATGAAGTCCAGCACCATGAGCCGATACAGCTCCTGGCCCACAAAGTTCTCCCAGCACTGAAACAGAGTGGGCCTCAGCCCCCGGGCCCCTGATGCCCCCGCCACCCTGCCCACCCCAGCAGCCCACCCAGGGGCCCTCCCACCGCCCCAGGGCCACCCTCACCTGGTCCTTCAGGGTGCCCACCCTGCGGCCCACCCAGGGGCCCTCCCACCGCCCCAGGGCCACCCTCACCTGGTCCTTCAGGGTGCCCACCCTGCGGCCCACCCAGGGGCCCTCCCACCGCCCCAGGGCCACCCTCACCTGGTCCTTCAGGGTGCCCACCCTGCGGCCCACCCAGGGGCCCTCCCACCGCCCCAGGGCCACCCTCACCTGGTCCTTCAGGGTGCCCACCCTGCGGCCCACCCAGGGGCCCTCCCACCGCCCCAGGGCCACCCTCACCTGGTCCTTCAGGGTGCCCACCCTGCGGCCCACCCAGGGGCCCTCCCACCGCCCCAGGGCCACCCTCACCTGGTCCTTCAGGGTGCCCACCCTGCGGCCCACCCAGGGGCCCTCCCACCGCCCCAGGGCCACCCTCACCTGGTCCTTCAGGGTGCCCACCCTGCGGCCCAGCCAGTGGTAGCAAAGAATGCCCAGGATGACCATCTTGAGGATGAGGTTCCTGTAGAGGACAGGGAGGTGGGGAGTGCTGAGAGAGGGGGACCGGGGGGGGGGCAGGGGCCCCGCCCCGGCAGCCTCCACCTGCCCCGCCTGGCCACACACCTGCAGACGGCCACGTACACCTCCAGCACCGGCGAGTCGTACCGCTCCAGGGCCGCCAGGCAGCGGAACAGGTAGGGGGCCCCCAGGTTGAGGAGGCAGACCACCACGGGCAGGGCCAGCAGCGCCCCCTCCTGCTCGACAGACACCGGGCTCTGCAGGAGGAGGGCCGGCGGCAGTCAAGACAGGTGCCCCGGTTGTGGGGGGGCGGCCGGGAGGGGCCCCCGGCGTGGAAGGAGGGGGCCAAACTGCCTGGCAGCACCTCCCTCCCTCCCCAAGACACGCCCACCCCGGCCTCTGCTTCAAACCACACAGGAAGGGGGTGGGGACACGGGTGTCAGAAAGAGAAACCCAAAAGGCAGGGGGAGCCAGAGACGGGCGCAGGAGGAGACAGAGCCGCCCGGGAGAGAGGGGGCCGAGGGCGGGGGGCAGGCACCGGGGGCCCGTCCGAATTCAGCAGGGGTCTGACCCTGTGGCCAGGGCTCCAGGGACGGGCCTCTCTCTGCCCGCACCTTGATCATGAGCTCGGAGAAGGCGTAGACGGCCACGGTGCAGCCCAGCGTGGTCCCCAGGGACAGCAGCCACACGAGCCCCCGCACGGCCACCCGCCGCAGCCGCCCGCACGCGCTCCGGGAGCCCCGCCGTCGCTGCCACTCGGCTAACAGCTCCTGTGGGCAACGAGCCCGTCATGAACCCCGCACAACCGCGCAGAGACACACACGGGACCCGGCGGGTGGACAGCTGGGGGAGCCTGGAGGGACCCAGGGGTCGCCTCCCTCCCACCCCCAGTGCTACCACCTGCCACTCCCCCTGTCCCCAGGCACAAAAGAGAACACGGGGCAGGGTCTCAAGGCTGCGCCCTGCCCTCCATCCCCGCCAGCCCCCAGTTGGTCACCCTGCTCCCACCTCGGGCTCACGCTGCACCCTGAGGCCTGCCTCCCTCCCTCCCCAGCCCTGCCTCCTGAGCCCCGCTCCCTGCCTTGGAGGTGGGCGGGCCCCCAGCTGCCCAGAAGCCCTAAGGCTCGAAGGACACCTGGCTGGCCATGGGAGCTCCCTGAGGGCAATGAGGGCCCATCAGCCAGGTCAAAGCTGAGAGCACCCCAGAAAGGCAGAGAAGAGCGCACAAGGCCCGGCCTGGCCCCCGGCCTTGGGTAAGGGACTGAACCTCAGGTCGGTGTGCTCACGGGCAGCACGGGCAGCTAACAGTCCCTGCCCTGGGCTACCGTGGCGAGCCAGGGTGCGTGCCGGCGGGAGCCCTGGGGTCTCTGCCCACGGTGCCCCTGGCCGAGGGCCCCGAGAGCAGCTAAGCCCCTTGCATCGGAGCGTCGGCCCGCGGGTTCTCCAGCCTGCGGCTAAGGGCGAACTGACACACTGAGCCCCCCAGGATGGAGGACAGGCCAACAGCAAGGACCCACCCTGAGCACGCACGCACACTGAAACGTGCTGTGAGCAGAGGGTTCTATTAACGGGCTCCTGCGTGTTCGAGGGCCCTGGACACTAACCCTGCCAATGGGTGAGAGGCAGCCCCAAACGGGTGCCCCATACAGAAGAAAACTCCAGGACGATTCCCAGGGCTACCTCCTGTCCCTGGATTCGGGGCGACAGGCCAAGACCCCCCACCCCATGCCCCACGCACAGCTCTGGCCACGTGGGCCTAAGGGGACATGGGCCGGGTCTGTGGGAGCCGAGATGAAGTCAGGGCCCCCGAGCGGCTCACCTTCAGATGGGTTCGGATGTTGTCGTGCTGGAGGCGGGAGGCCCGTCTCTGGGTCACCTTATGGTCCCAGGAGCAGAAAACGGTGACGGCATGAACCCCTGAGGTGCTGCCCACCCGGTAGCTCTCCCCGAAAGAGTGGGACATGCTGGGAGAAGCAGAGCCAGGCAGAGAGGTGACGAGGGGCACAGAGGCCAGGGAGAAGGCAGTCAGGACGCTCCCCACAGCCAAAACCTGCCACTCACTCTGAGGAGCCCTCTGGGCGCTAGATGGGCCTCCCGCCGACCCCCCTGCCCCTCTTCCAGCCCTGCGCTCTGGGCCTCCTGCCGCAGGCTGCTGGCCACCCTACATCAACCCTGATTCGGTGCCCACTGAATGCGGCTAGCGGAGCGGCGGGGCTCCGTGACCCACGGACGTGGCTGGCCGCCTCCCACACAGACATCGCCGCAGAATATGCCAACTTACCTCAGGCCTTTCGCACGGCCTATCCCAAGAGCCGAAACACCTTCCTCTGCTTCTCCCCTGCCCACGCGTATTCAACCCCCCTGTCTGACATGAGTACCTCCTCTAGACAGAAGCCAGCCTGACTCCTCTAGTGCCCCAGCGCACCCCGGCAAGCACCGCTGGGGCTCTGGGTCTTCCCAGCCTCCTCACTGGTCTGTCTTCTCCCCTAGACAGCAAGTTCCTCGAGGACAGGCCCCATGCTTATTTACCCTCCTGCCCTGAGCTGAGCACAGCCAATGTCTGGAGTGGGGAGGGGGATGAATGGTTGAGTGGGTGGAAGGAAGGAAAGAAGGAAAGAAGGAAGGAAGGGGGCGCCTGCGTGGCTCAGTTGGTTAAGCGACTGCCTTCAGCTCAGGTCATGATCCTGGAGTCCCAGGATCGAGTCCCGCATTGGGCTCCCTGCTCAGCAGGGAGTCTGCTTCTCCCTCTCCCACTTCCCCCCTCTTGTGCTCTCTCTCTCTCTCTCTCAAATAAATAAATAAAATCTTAAAAAAATAAATATAAAAAAAGAAGGAAGAAAGGAAGAGCAGATGGATGGATGGATGGGGGATAAAAGGAAGGAAGGGTAGATGCATGGATGGAAGGATTTAAGGAAGGAAGAGTAGATGGATGGATGAAGGAAAGAAGGGTAGATGTATGGATGGAAGGATGCATGGATGGATGGTGGATGGATGGATGGATGGAAGGATTTAAGGAAGGAAGAGTGGATAGATGGATGGATGGAAGGGTGGATGGAAGGATGGATGGATGGATGGATGGATGGGAGGATGGAAAGGTGGATGGATGGATGGATGGAAGGATGGAAGGGTGGATGGATGAATGGAAGGATGGATGGATGGAAGGATGGATGGAAGGGTGGATGGAAGGATGGATGGAAGGATGGAAGGATGGATGGTTGGATGGATGGATGGATGGATGGATGGATGGAAGGATGGAAGGAAGGATGGAAGGATGGAAGGGTGGATGGAAGGAAGGATGGATGGATGGATGGATGGAAGGATGGAAGGGTGGATGGATGGAAGGGTGGGGGGATAGACAGGAGGAAGATCTGTAATGACTAGATGAGGAGATGATCAGTAGTACTCAGAGCCAAGGTCATAAGGTGGAGGGCCGTTACCTGTACACCAGGGTGATGCAGGTGATAAAGAAGGCTAGGCCCACAGTGAAAAGGTAGGCCAAGGGCATGCTGTAGGGCAGGCTGTCGGCCTCGCGGCTGCACTGACCACCCCCCGGGGGGGGCACACACGGCTGGCTCATTGTGCTGTTACTGTAGTAGCCGTAATACAGGACAGTGTGGGTGAAGCGGCCCTGCAGGGAGGAGGCCCCGTGCAGTCAGGGACTCTCCCCCTTCCCATCCCTGACCCAGCCTTGGGCTTCACGAGGCAGAGGGAGGGCACCCACGGGGGCAGGGCGAGGAGAAGGGCAGGGCAGGGGCAGAGAGGAGAGCACAGAGGTAGACAGAGGGCCACAGCCATCCCGGGGCTCCCCGGCCCCCCTGGACTCAGGGCAGGACGGGTATCAAGAAGAGGCTGGCTATAGCCCCCCGGGGAGTCCCGGCACAGACAGGGGCGGGGGCTCCCCGGGGGAAGCCATGCCAAGTGGGCAGAAGGCAGGGCCCCCGCCTGCAGACGCCCCCGGCCCCCCCACGGCTCCCTCGCCCTGAGGGAGCCCTCACCCCGCCGGTGAGCAGCTCCAGGCCCGTGAAGCTGGGGACAGAGCCCGGGGGCGCTGGCGGCGGGAAGGCCGCCTGCACGCCCACGATGAAGGCCAGCAGCGGCGGCAGCAGGAGGGCGTTGAAGGCCAGCAGGGTCTTGAGGAAGAGGAAGTAGGAGAGCACGCTGGAGCCGAACTGGCCTCCGATCTGCTTCAGGGCGTAGCGCCACGGCCTCAGGGCGTGCAGACGCCCGAGCAGCCCGAGCCCCAGGCTGTGCAGGGCCTGTGGGCACAGAGGCAGGAAGGGAAGGGGCCCGCCTGATCTCCCCTGATCTCGCGTGGGGGCGGGGGGGGTGCGGGGGAGGCCAGGCTTGGAGGTGCGGGGCAGTGGAGGGCGCTGCGGAGGGGAGGGCGGGTCTGAAGGCTGCGAGACCCCACACACAGGACAGGCACAGAAGAAAGGGGGGGCCACCCCACCCCCGCCCGGCCGCCCTGGGCGCATCCCAGACAGGAGGGTCCTACCAGGACGCAGGCATCTCGGAGCCGGCCGCAGCAGGGGAAGAGCCCATGCGGGCCCTGCCGGCCCCTCTGCTTCTCCGTCGGGGTCTGGGTCTCCTCTCTGGGGGCATAGGCCGCATCAGGGTGGGACCAGGGATGTACCCGACTCCCCCCTGGGAGCCACCTGCGGCACGCTCAGGGCCCTTCTCACCGACCGCCCAGCCCCAAGGAAGTGGGTCTCGAGACGGCCCGAGGCCGACGGGCACTGACCGCAGGCAGCGTTTCTCGGCCAGGCCCAAGGGCATTCCCCGGAGCATGTGGTTCCGCTGGGCCACCGGCAGGCCCTCCAGCTCCTTCACCAGGAGGGAGCGCTTCTCTACAGAGGATGGGGCTCTGTCAGTTCCCCGCCACACCCTTCCCTTCCTCCCTCCCTCACTCCTGCACCTGTGCCCATGACCCTGGACAAACCTGTCTGCCCCTGCCGGCCACCCCAACGCAGACCTCTGCCCACCCTCCCAGGTCTGGACAGCTGCTCTCTGCCCGTACCATCCAAGCCAGACCCCGCCGTGCCCGCCGGTCTTGCTCCACTAGCTGTCTTCACTACCCCCCTCAGCCTATGAGCCCGGTGCCCCTCCTCCTGCACCCTAACTCTCCTCCTGGGTCCCCACAAGCATCTTGTTCTGACCCCCAATGCACCTGAGCCTCACCCGCCCCTCTGCTCAGCAGTGATCAGGTCCCAACCCCATCCCCTAGCACTTCCCACTATGCTCTTGTGGGGTGATGGGGGGGCCTGTAGACCCACCCCTCTCTCTTTCCCACCTTCACTACCAGCCTGGGAGGGGGCACCACTTCAACCCCAAGTGACAGACAAGGGGACACCTGGCCAGGCCTGCAAAGCGAAGCTGGCAAGCTGCCCAGAGCCCACTCCTCCCTGCCCTGTCCATCCCCTATCACAGGGCCTCCACTAAACTGGGGAGGACACAGACAGGACCCCCGCACAGTGCCTGAGCTCCAGGCACCTGAACGCCACAGGTTACCTGGTTGGAGACCGACCCGTGACACTGGCTCTGCTATGAACACTGTCCCTTGCCCTCTAGCACCTCCACACCCACCTCCCACCTCAGGGCCTTTGCACATGCCCCTCTGTTCTAGTGTCACTTCCTCCAGGAAGCTTCCCTGGATCCCTGTCCTGCCGCGTGCCTTTCCTCAGTCTCCCTCGTCTGAGCTTGAATGTGCTCTTCCATTTGGTTGGTTCCCATCTGTTTCACTGGGCAGAAAACAAGCTGCAGGAGAGCTGGACCTGGTCCGCTCACCACCATCCCAGCCCAAAGCTGGGACCAGCGTGTGCAACAGGAGTGCTCAGTGCGGGACATTTCAGGGGCGCTGCCTGATACGGGCCGAACCCTTCACGGCCCAGCCGGCCCCCGCTGCTCTGCGCCCCCCACCCCCCGCAGTCTGGCCGGCCTGAGCTCCTCCCCACCGAGGAGGCCGCAGGGCCCACTGGCTCACCCTCCTCCTGCAGGGCCGCGGGGTCCAGCTCCAGGTCGTAGAGGCGGAGGCTGGGCCGCGCCGAGCGCCCCACGCCCTTGAGCTCCGGCCGGCTGACCCTGCGCCGCAGCTGCACCGAGCGGTTGTAGCACTGGCAGATGACGGCACCGCGGCTCCGGCCTGGGGGGGGGGGGGGGGTCAGGGGCAGCCCGGGCCGTGCCTCCCTGCCCCCGCCCCTCCCAGGGCCCACGGGGTCCCTTTGCAAGAGACCTCAGGCACCACTGGGTTCCCAAGAGCCTATTTTTATCCCTGTGACTCTGGAGTCGTTTTTGGAACCCAGCGAGGCGCATGGGGCTGTGCCGGGCCTCCCGGCAGCGGGCGGCAGGCTGGGGGGCGACGGGCCCGGCCCCGCGCTGCACAGACCCCCGTCTGAAAGCCCCGCCGCCCAGGCGAGGCTAGAGGAGCCCACTCACCGATAGTGCGACTGGGCATGCTGGCCAAGATGCGGAGCGTGGCTGCGCTGTGCGCAAGCGCATCCTCGGGCCCCGGCAGGGCGTGCTGGCCACAGCCTAGGAAGCAGAAAGACTCGTCCGGCGTCCTGGAGACATGGCTGGCCAGCCATCTCCCCCACCCAATCCCCACCCCAGGCCTGCAGTGGGCAGGGAAGGCTCAGTGCCCCGCCCACAGCATCAGGGAGGGCTCACCTGAGGTCTCCGGGCCTCCAGCCCCCGGCTCCCTCTGCTGCAGCTCCAGCCCCTCCTCAGCCACCCACTGGCTCTGCTCCTGGATGAGCTGGTGGAAGGAGTCATGGACTTCACTCTCATCATACGGGCTGGGCTCCTGGCTGCTGGGATGAGAGGGGGGCGGGAGCTCAGGATTCGGCTGCCCCAGCCCTGCCCCAGCAGGGACCCCTTCCATAGGCCCTGGTCCAGGTGGCCTCTCCCAGGAAGGGGGCGGGGGGGAGGGGAACGTCTCTGCCCTCCGGCCCCCCCAGCCCCAGCGCACTTACCTGTGGTCCTCTGGGGTCTCGGGAACATTGAGGACAAAGTTCAGCGGCTGGGCCATGTCTGTGACCCACGCCCAGCCGGTGTGCAAACCTAGAGCAGCTCAGAGCCCCGGCGCAGCCTCCAAAGCCTCCCGCTGCCCATCTGATGAGACAGGGAGTGGTGTACCAAGGTTGGCCCTCGGTGCCTGGTGCCCCGCCAAACTACCCATTCCCTGGGGCCGTGGGGGGTGCCCACAGCCTAGGCCGCCTGAGCCCCTGCCTGCCCCCATCCACTGCCAAACACGTGGTCAGGTTAGTGGCCCCAAATAAGCCTCATGCCAGAATGGACCAAGAGGGAGTCCCTTCCACTGCTTGAGGGAGAGCGGCAGGAAGAAGGGGGTTCTGAGCAGTCCCCATCGGTTTCCTCTATGGCGCCAGTCCCTGGGAAGGCGGAAGGGGGTGGGTGTCCGTGGGCACAGCCCCAGGTATCCACCGCCCTCCTGGTGAAGAAGTTCAGGGCAAGCTCCCAGACCTTCCTGTGCCGGCCCTGTAACCCCAGAGCACTTCCTCTCACAGGAAGCCCCTCCCACGGCTAGCCCCTCCCACGGGGGCGGGGCTCCTCCAGCGGGCCGCCACCCAATGCTGCTGGCCCTCACCTCCCCAAACAGGGATCACTGCCCTCCACACTGGGCTGGGCTGGGGCGCTGCAAGGTCACCAGTTCTCAGGAGACCAACTCCCCTACATTCCATCACCCCAGGGGCGGGCCAGGGCAGCTGGCTGGGGGAAGGGAGCCTGGGCGTTAAACAGGCCGCCTTTGTGCAGCCTTTGTCCAGGCAGAGGGCTCTGCCATCGCCTGGGACAACTGGAACCAGGGCAGCCTTGTCTGGGCTCTTCACCCTGTGGGAGTGGCCCGGGGCCCAGCCCTGCGTCTGCCCTGTCTTCGGTCTTCCTCCACCCTGTTGTCCCCCTGGGGGGATCTCAGCATTCAGAAAAGTTGGCTCTGCTCAAGGGGGCCTCCTGGGGCAAGGCCAGGATGCCCAGTGTCCTCACTTAGGGGCATGCAGGACGTCCAGTCTCTGAACCCAGGCCCCACACCATCCAAGCCCCTTCCGCTCCCTCCATCAGGGGCGGGGGGAAGGGGGGACCAACAGAGAGATGATGGGTCGGCTGAATCGGGAAAACAGCTGGAGGTGAAGCTGATGATGTGCCCCCCAATCCAGTCCCCAGAGCTAGAATCCCTTCCTCCGCAGACCCTCAAGCCTCTCCCACACACCCCTTTGGGGGGCGGGGGGAGGTAGTGGGGAGGTGGGAGCTGTTCAGAGGCTTGGAATCCGGCAGCCTGCCTAGGGGTAGGGGCTCACCTGGGCTCACCCAGGCACTGCCTACGACTTCTGCCCAGCTGACACCCAGCGCCCGGACAGCCGACCCCAGGCCGGGGCAGGTCCGGCAGAGTTTCCGGGGCACACCATTCCTGCGCCCTGAGCCAGGTGGGGAGGGGCAGGGTGGGGCGCGTCTCCGGGAACCCCACCCCGGCCGGCAGCGAGTCCTCTGGGAGCCGCAGCGGCCCGGGAAGGGCCGCAGCCCAGCCGCGGAGCCCAGGGGCGGCCGCAGGGCCGGGCGCCCCTCGACCCCTCTCCGCGCCAGCCTCCCGCTCCCCCGCCCCGGGCCAGTGGTACCGGCCCGCGCGACCCGGCCGGGCCCCGGGGCGTCACCACTGCCCTCTCCGCCGGGGCGGCCGGCCGGGAGGCGTCAGGCCTTTGGCGCGGGAACTCCCCGCCCCGTGGCCCCGGGGGCCCCCGGGAATGGGGAGCGGGTGAGGCGGCCGCCGCAGGGGAAGTGGCTGGGCCGGGGGGACCCGGGCACCGCCCTCAAGCCCAGGGCCGCGGCTCCGCCCGGACCGGCACCCCGATCCCCGCCGCTTACCTGGGAGGCGCGGGGAGGAGGGGCCCTGCGCGCCCGCCAGCCGCTCACCTGTCCCCGGAACCGGGGTCCGGGCTCCACCACCTGGGGGCAGGGGCGCGGGGTCAGGGGGAGGGAGTGACGGGGGGACGGCCCAGGGGGCGACCTGGGACCGCCGCGGGACTGAGGGGGCCCGAGGGAGCTGCGCCGCCCAGCCCCCGCCCACGTGGTGGCGGGCCTCCGGCGTCACGTGACCCGGCGCGCCCCGCGCCCTCGGGCGACCTTGCCCTCTCCCTGCCGACTGCCGACCCCGTCTCCACCTCACCCCGCCGTCTGAGCTGGGTGCGGACGGCCGAGCGTCTGGGTCTACTCCAGTCTCAGTCTGAGTCCAGTGTGTCAGTGGGACTCAGTTTCCCCAAGTTTCAAATGGGGACAATAATTCCCCACCCGCCCATTTCCCAGGGCAATTATCAAAAGAACCCGCTGCTGCAAAGCCCCACTGATGCACCGCCTTTCGACACTGGATTGAGTAACCCTTTCCTCCACACAACCTCCTGCTGAGGAACGACTTCCCAAGCAGGCTCAGGACCCGGGTTATCACCCCCCTCTGGTCCGGGCGTGGTTTCTGTCACTGGTCAGACCACAGTTCTGGCGCACTTCCTGTGTGCTAGGTGGGGAGGAGGGGCAAGCCCCAGGGAAGCCTGACACTGTGACTGTCCCCTCTGCTGGTTTCTTAGTTACTCCCATAAGCCAGGGAGGTGGACACCTACTCCCTGCTTCACAGATGAGCAAACAGGTGGTGACGTTCATCAGCTTCTTGGGGTGTCCTCTGCCAGGGCTTGAGTCTGGTCCACCCCGGAGCTCCACGAGAAACCTGGCTTTGAGAAAGCCTGGCAGGTCAGAGGGGAGGCTCCCAGAGATTGGAATGAGAATGGGTGGAATTTGGACAGTGGGGGGGGGCGGGGACCGTCCAGATCGGGGGAAGCCTTGAGAGGCAGGCAGGGAGGAGGGCAGAAAGGAAGGAGAGAGCCCTCCTGGAGGGTTGAACAGGTGGGCAAAGCCAGGATTCCCAAATGAAAAGATGTAATGCAAGCGGTAAAGGGGTCTGCAGACCTGAAGTTGGACCAAGTTGGAGAGGTCAGCGTTGGGGCTTTTTTTGCAGCTGTCTGTGGGGTCCTCAGATGGGTTACTTCGGGCTGGATCTTGGCACAAGGCACCTCCGCATGAAGACGGGGCCTGCCCAGCCCTTGCCTCTCCCCACACTGATGCCCCTCCCTGCACACCCTGCTCCAGCCATGTGGTACTCGCATGACCCTGGCCCAACTTGCAGGTCACCTCCTGTGGGAAGCCTTCCTGGATTGAACCCTGTTGGAGCCCTTGCCACTTCCTGTTGACATATTCTTTTGCTGGTCTGTTCACCCTGCCCCCACTCTCTGAGCCCACTGTGTGTTGGGCACCAGCACCCAGCTTGGAGCCTGGCATAAAGGAGGGGCTTGGAAAATGAGGGGATCCAGGCAGGGATGCAGAGAAGCTACCAGAACTCAGCTGGATGGACTGGGCCCTGAAGGAGGTGGAGAGGGAGCAAGGAGGAAAGGGGATCCCAGGAGAGAGAAACGGCCAAGATGGCTCTGAAACATCTTGCCTAGCAGGAACGAATGGCACGGATTCCTGAGCCCTTACTGTAGGCCAGACTCTAAGTCCCTGAAGTGCCAGTGACCCAGGCGGGAAGCTGAGGATTAACGCCAAAGGCTTCTGGAAACTGAGCAGCCCGAAGTGATGGGGCCCACCCATTCTGTCACTATCTCGCTCTCCCCCGAGGACAATCTGCCACGGGCAGATAAGCGGCCAGGCCCCAGCTCGGGCTCCCCAGGCGTAAAGGGACCGAGCACGCAGGAGCGGCGGGGAGGGACGGGCGGGACACCCCCCACCCCCACCTCCTACCCCCTGGACGACCCCGACCCCGCGGGCCCCACCTGCCCGCCTGCCCCGAGCGCCGCAGGAAGTGGGGGCCCCAGTGAAAGCGAAGGAAGCTGTCGAGGTGGGGGCGAGAAGTGCAGGGGGGAGGAGATGGCGGGAGAGCTGGGGTTCCTGTCATGTGACCCCTCCCCCGGCTCCCTCACAGTCCCGCCCGACGCGGCGGGAGCCGGTCCAACGAGGGGGCTCCTCCGGGGACTTGGTCCCTTGTCCCCAGGTGAGCTGGGTGCAGAGTGGGGGGAAGAGGCAGAGCACGAGGGGGTGAAAGAGAGAACCGAGGGGGTGGGGCTGCTGAGGGATGGGGGTTATGGCCGCCGCGCTAGGGTCCCCTCCCCAAGTCTGGGGGCTGTAGCCACGCCTCCTCATCTGCGGTTCCCCGGGGGGCGGGGCAGACCCAGTCCTGGGGGCTGGACCCCAGGTAGCGGGCGCAAGGGGGTCCCAGCACATCCAAATCCCGCAGGATATGGATTCTAGGAACTGTCAGGGTTTGGGACAGGGGCCTGTTCCCACTGGGAGAAGTAGCAAGGGGAGAAGAGCTGGAATTGTCTTGCCGAGGGGTGACCCCGAAGGCCTTTGGCCACAGGCAGCAGGTGTGACTGGGGTGCAGCAGCTTTGGACCCCATCGCACTTATCTGTGGCCACACCTGGCTTTGTCTTTGTCTGGGACAGTCCCATCTTTCCATGCCCTTTGGACCTTTCTCCCCATTGACAAACAGGGAAACTGAGGCCTCTGGCAGTGTGTTGCTTTGAGATGTGGACGGGGACCCAGTCCAGATCTGCTCCAACTGAATTCTCTCTCTTCATCTCTGGCTGTGCCAGGGCCAAGAGCCTGAAGCTCACCCAGCAGGCACCCCCACGTCCCTTCTAGGAGGTGGGGGATTGTAGCCCAGCGCCCCCAACCCCAACCCCATGGCAGAGATGCTGAGGCAGGGGTCAGTGCCGTCCGGCCAGGCCCTCGTGGCGCCAGAACCTGAGCCAGGGGCCGAGGAGCTATGGGAGCAGGAGTTGGAGCGGCTGTGGTCCTCCCAGGCCCTGGTGCGGGAGCTGCCCTATGCCATGGTGGACAAGCGCCTCATCCGGTGGGTTCCCCAGGGCGGGCACGGTGGGGGCCAGATGGTGGGGGTGGGTGGAGCACCGACAGGATGCACCTGTTGGATGGGGTGGAAGTCACCCGCAGTGGGAAGGCTCCTCTGGCCCTTGGCATTGCTCTGCCTGGCCTGGTGGGCACAGTGGGTGACTCAAGGCCGCCCCCGTCACCACCCCATCCCAGGCAGCTGCGGGAGCCCGAGGGGGTGAAGACCTCTTGCTGGCAGCGATGGCGGAGCAGGCGGCAGATTGCGGGACGGCGCCTAGGGGAGGCGGCGCAGCGGCTGGCCCGGGGCTTTGGGCTCTGGGAAGGGGCTCTCTACGAGATAGGGGGTAGGACCCGCACCCCCACCTCCCCCCTCCCCTCTCTGGAGTCTCAATGTCCGGTTTAGAGACCCGAGGCCACCATCCCGCTTGCCATTGTCCCTTCCGCCCCCACCAAACACCCCCCCCACCACCAAACAACGCCCCCCATCCTTTCACGCCCCCGTTTGGCCCAGAGCCGGGGCGCAAAACTAGGCAGATGACAGCACCCCCTGGTGGCTCTCAGAGGTACTGCTGGGGAGCCTCCCGGACTCGGCCGTTGATCCGAGGTCCAGGCAGGCCTGGTCACCCCCAC